AATATCCTTTAAATCATCTGTTTTAACTTTGTTTAAAATTAATTTATTAAGTAAATATTTACTTTCTGTACTAGTGTAAACACAGCCTGAAGATGGAAACCAAGTTTCTGAAAGCACTAGTGAAAAAAACAAATTATTATATATTGGCCTTGTTGAACATTTAAATTTAGATATACTGTACATTTCATCAGTGGTAGTATTTTTTTCTTCAGTTTGTTACCGGGACATTACGGGACATTACAGGATATCCAGTGGATTTTTTACATGTCCCGGGATGTCATGGGACATTCTGGGATATCCTATGGCATTCGTACATATCCCGGGACTTTACAGGATATCCTGAGGTTAACTTACAAATCCCGGGACATTGCGGTATATTGTAGGATATCCTGTGGATTTCGTACTCGTCCCGGGATTTTGCGGGATATCCTGAGGATAGCACACATATCCCGAGACATTCTCAGGACATATGGGACTACTATGGGATGTCCCTGGGATAAAGTGTGCTGTCTGGGTGATGCTTCACCGGTAGGTGTGGGAGCCGTTCTGTCTCACCGCTATAGCAATGGAACGGACAGACCAATTGCCTTCGCCTCTCGATCTTTAACAAAATCAGAGCAAAAATACTCTCAAATCGACAAGGAAGCCTTGGGAATATATTGGGGCCTGAAAAAGTATTTCCCATTTTGTTATGGCCGCAAGTTTACTTTGATTACAGACCACAAACCGCTAGTCTCAATTTTTAATCCAGCAAAGACCTTACCAACAATCTCGGCAACACGGATATTCAACTATGCTCACTTTCTCTCCGGGTTCAACTACGACATAGAGTACAGGCAAACTGCTCATCATAGCAATGCAGATTATCTTTCACGTTTCCCTACCGAAGTTGTACAAGAAAATGCAATAGATGACCTCTCTAAGTACCACATAAACCAACTAGAAACACTTAATGTCAACAGTACCGTGGTGGCTAAGGAAACTATCAACGATTCTGTGTTGGGTCCAGTCCTACAGGCCTTAAAATCAGGACAATCTGTCGAACAATATGGATTTCACGATAACGAACTGTCCATTCAAGATGATTGTGTACTGAAGGGCTGGAGAGTCATGATACCTCAATCCCTCAAACCTCACGTGCTTCGAGAATTACACGTAGCTCATTTAGGAGAAATAAAAATGAAGGCTTTAGCTCGCAGTTTTTGCTGGTGGAAAAGTATAGACAAGGATATTGAACAGATGGTAGCTGAATGTCGACAATGCATTGAACAATGCAACAACCCGAGAAAAACTATCCATCCATGGGAACAACCTACTAATCCATGGGAAAGAGTGCACATCGATTTCTTAGGACCAACAGATGGCCAACAGTACCTCATATTAGTGGATGCTTTTAGTAAGTGGGTGGAGGTGATACAGACAAGAACAACTACAAGTACATGGACAGTCCAAGAATTACGGAAAATCTTTTCAACTTTTGGGTTTCCTCAAATCTTAGTTTCAGATAATGGAAGACAGTTTGTTTCCCAAGAGTTCAAAAACTTCATGAATGAATGTGGGATTGTTCACAGAACAACGGCACCATATCACCCAAACTCAAACGGCCAGGCTGAAAGATACGTGCAGACTGTCAAGAAGGCGTTAAAATCCATGGAGGGAGAAAAGGGTACACTGCCAAATAAAATCCAAAGGCTTGTAATGCAACTCAGGCAATCCCCGAATTCAACTGGTACATCAGCATACCACTTAATGTTTGGAAGGAGTGTACGAACAAACCTCGCAATAATTGTTCCAACATTAGAGAACAAATTTCAGAACAAGGGACTCCAAGTCGGTATAAAAAGGAATTTCAAAGTTGGAGATAAGGTTCAAGCGCGGGTATATGTCAATGGATCATCCAAGTGGTACTCGGGCTATATAACTGAAAAGCAAGGACATGTAATGTACGTAGTTCAGCTGGGAGATGGGCGAATAACTAGAAGACATGTTGATCAGCTGATTCTTCGCAGAGTGCCTCAGCACAGTAAATAGAGGAGGAGGTGTTAACATATGTTTTCCTACAGTTACCTAACAATGTCCATGTTCCCTCCCTGATTTGAGAAAGCAAAGTGGCCAATTCGCTCATCAGTGAGACAATAACATTGTCTCACTCTAATTACTTTGTCTCACTCCAGATTTGCAACGTGAAGGCACGAAATAGTGAGCGCGTAACCTGCAGGCAACGTTGTATGCACGCGAAATACGTTGGCAGCACTGGCTGTAAATCAGCTGGTCAGCTGTTGTACTGTTGTATTTGTCACTTCACATTAAATGTTGTATTAAAAGTTCACTTTTGTGTAAAAATAGGTTATGTTTCTTCACAAATTTATTTGTTTTATGGTAACTGTAGGAAAAGTATAATGTGCAACTCGAGTTCAAAGTACAATTGCCTCACTCGAGAAACCATTCCTCACTCGCCTACGGCTCGTAAGGATTTCTCTCGAGCATAGATAAAAGGAGTATAGACACTCTCGAGTGAGTCAATTGCTCACTTTTCTCACTAGTTGCACAAATAACTATTTATTTACATTTTATTTCTAACATGTGTTCAAATTATTCTTTTGTTTACTTGTTGAATTGTTTATGTTTACTTACAGATTGTGATTTAATAAAAACTTACTTTATATTTTCTTATACAAAATGTGAACTTTTATTAGTAAAATTAGTGGAATCAACAATACCAATCGTTAGTTCATCGTTAGTTCTCGATAGTTCCCAATGTTTATCGTTAGTTCCAAAAAAAATAAAAAAGTTATAGCCGATAATAAGTGGGTACGCTAACTTCACACTTCCGGTTTCTGGCGCGCGCCATTTTCTGATGAGAAATGTTTACATCTATATATCAATCGTTAGTTCTTCGTTAGTCCTCAATAGTTCTCCAACATTTTCGTTAGTTCTCAAAAAATAAAAAAAGTTACGAGGCATACAAAGTGGGTACGCTAACTTCACAATTACAATTTCCAGCGGGCACCGTTTTATGACTATAAATGCTTATGTCTATATACCAATCGTTAGTTCATTGTTAGTTCTCTTTAGTTCTCCAATATTTACGCTAGTTCTAAAAAATAAAAATAAAGTTACGAGGCATACAAAGTGGCGCTAACTTCACAATTACACAATTTCCAGCGGGCACAGTTTTATGACTGTAAATGCTTATATCTATATACCACTCGTTAGTTCTTCGTTATTTCTCGATAGTTCTCCAATATTTACGTTAGTTCTTCAAAAGTATAAAAGTTACGAGACATACAAAGTGGGGTGAAGTTAGCGTGGCTGCCACACAACTCGCGATTCGTCGAGTTGCTGCTTTGTACTTCGCGTGGATATAGCGCATGTATGGAGCCGGTTATAGGCATGGAACTTGGATAAAACCCCCTTTTTGCAATTCATAAAACTATGGTAACTAATTTATCATAAGTAAAAAATATTTATCCTCATCCTCGGTATAATTTAACAATTTAACACATTTAATTTTGAACGTATTTCTAAACTGTTTAAAAACCATGTTGTGAATGTTTGAACGAGTATTTGAGCGTACGTATTTTAGAACAATCGAGAAACTAACGAAGAACTAACGATTGGTATATAGATATAGGCATTTATAATCAGAAAACGGTGTCCACTGGAAATTCTATAGTTGTGAAGTTAGAGTACTCACTTTGTATTCATTATAACCTTTTTGTTTTTAGAGATCTAACATCAATATTAAGAACTATCAAGAACTAACGAAGAACTAACGATTGGTAAATAGATATAAGCATTTTTATTCAGAAAACTGTGCCCGCTAGAAATTTTATAGTTGCGAAGTTAGCGTACCCACTTTGTATGCCTCGTAACTTTTTTATTTTTTTTTTGAACTAACGTTTATATTGGAGAAATATCGAGAACTAACGAAGAACTAACGATTGGTATATAGATATAAGCATATATACCTAATAGTCATAAAACGGTGCCCGCTGGAAATGTTATAATTGTGAAGTTAGCGTACTTTGTATGCCTCGTAACTTTTTTATTTTTCGAGAACTAACGTAAATATTGGAGAAATGTCGAGAACTAACGATTGGCATATAGATATAAGCATATATAGTCATAAAACGGTGCCCGCTGGAAATTTTATAATTGTGAAGTTAGCGTACGCACTTTGTATGCCTCGTAACTTGTTTATTTTTTGAGAACCAACGTAAATATTAGAGAAATATCGAGAACTAACGAAGAACTAACGATTGGATTGGTATATAGATATAAGCATATATAATAGTCATAAAACGGTGCCCGCTGGAAATGTTATAATTGTGAAGTTAGCGTACTTTGTATGCCTCATAACTTTTTTTTATTTTTTGAGAACTAACGTAAATATTGGAGAAATATCGAGAACTAACTGAGAACTAACGATTGGTATATAGATATAATTGCGTTTATACTCAGAAAACTGTGCCCGCTGGAAATTCTATAATTGTGAAGTTAGCGTACCCACTTTGTATGCCTCGTAACTTTTTTATTTTTTAGAACTAACGAAAATATTGGAGAACTATTGAGGACTAACGAAGAACTAACGATTTATCTATAGATGTAAACATTTCTCATCAGAAAATGGCGCCCGCTAAAAAACCGGAAGTGTGAAAGCTCAGTGGTGTGAAGTTAGCGTACCCACTTATTATCGGCTATAACTTTTTTATTTTTTGAGAACTAACGATAAAAATTGGGAACTATCGAGAACTAACGATGAACTAACGTTTGGTATACTCAAAAGTGGATACGCTAATATGGGTACGCCAACTTCACGAACCTCAGCTAATAAGAAGCCCACAGCTGTCATCGTAGGCTCATCTATACCTCCCCTGAGTAAATATCCTTAGCAAAAAAAGCGACTGCGTTTTCCTTTCTCTCGCGCTCGTGAACCGTGTCGTGATTCATGTTTTTTTTGGCGTTTTGTTTGTGTGTGTCTCGTGTGTGTAATAAATGTGCTGTCTGTATGCTGCCTCTGAGGTTATGTTCTATTGTTCTGAGTCCAGGTCCAGCCAGGCCTATAACAAACAATCTGCCTGAGCCTTCATACATTTTGGGAGGATAACGTTATAAGTAGCCTATCAGTTGATAAATAGAATGCAGCAGGACGATGTGAGTAAAGTGTCATAATTTTACCTAGGCCTACCTTAGGTTAGGTCTATGTATAAAATAATTGTAAGTTACATAGGCAGCTCATAACTTAAGTGTAAAGAGATTAAATACATTCTGTATATTTTTTGCCTAGGCCAAGACCTATAACGTTTAGTAATAAAAAATCCCATTTTCTATTGATACTCAGTAAATACTGTTTAAAGTAGCAAACAATTATAAAAAGCAGCCATTCTCAGAGGTTTGTATTTGGGGTCTCTCACAGCTCAGCTAGGCCTATGCTACAGGCAAGTGCCCTGCTCAGAACAAAAGTCGGGTGTAAGTTATACAGTTTCTTAACTGGGCTACGCTAATATCGATTGAAACTATCGATTTGATTAGTAAACCTTCATGCGATTTTTTCACCATCAGCAAGTTTGATTGGTTAGGTTAGGTAATGATAATTTAATTTTATAATACAATAGATAGCCTATATTTTTAAATATCGATTACCTATTAATCATATTTTAAATTCGATAGTTTCAATCGATATTAGCGTAGCCCAGTTAAGAAACTACCCCAAAAGTCGCACACAAAACTTGACCAAAGGCTTAACTTATTTCACACTTGGTGATTTTACTCGCTATGACTAGAGTTAGCGGCTAAGTTACTAATCACTTTGTGAGAACAGAAAGTAAAAATTCACTCGTACAGAAAGTCGGACATGTTCACTTTTTTTGGCGAGTAGCCAACGTCGAGTCACGTGATTCACTTGCCCAGAGTCGGTAGCGCTTAAGTATGTCACCATGTCTGGACACTGAACAGTCTAAGTTAGTAGGCCTAGTCATCGCTATCGCGACTAAAGGCAGTGGCCTTGTCAGACGCCTCGTGTTAGCCTATATTTTTTTATTTTATTTTTATTTTTATTTATTCCAACGGCAAGATTACCAATTTACAATGTGGATTCAAGTTAAGCCTATGTGGTAACAACATGCATTTTAACAGAAAACTTAACTAACTTAAATCTATGGCAGGAGCAGAGCCACATTGGTAACAGGAAATATGAGTTTTATCATAGATAAAACATACTCCCTTAGTAGATTTGTCATCCTGATGGAACAGCTGAAGCCAATTTTATTGTTAGTTATGTACATCCAACTGCTGAGGTCGTGTTTTGTTTACAATTTGTTTCTTCTTATTTCAGTAATTTAAAACCTCATTTAACCAAATAAAACAATATAATCATAAACAATAACTGGTCTCCTAGTTATATACGGTAACCAAAAATAGTAAAGCACAAATCATGAAAATAACCCTAAAATAAAACATACAAAATTTCGTCAACCTCAGCGATCAGTGTTGGACTACATAAACTAGACACGAAAAACAAGCTTCAAAATTCACAATGCAACGAGGGTCTACCTGTGTTGCTTACTTAGTCTAGGCCTATGGTTATATTTTATATTATTAGGCTAGGTAGGCTTATATTAGATCAATATATAAGTTGGGCCTAACTAACAGGATTCTGAATGAATTTTGTTTACTTGGCTATAAGAGTGTTTTAGCCATAAAATAGACATCATAAATGCCATTTTGGAAATATCTGCTGTTCAAATCGGTACTTCAGTATTAAACGGAGGCCATCATTACGAAACGCGTCGCGGCACTTATAAGTAGAGGGTTAAATTGTTATAGATGTTGTAGTAGAACTATTCTAGTATTGTTGTGAGTCGAGCGTTATCAGATGAGTCATGTGTCTACTCGCAGAATCCCCTCCAAGTAGGCCAATGTCAGGGTCGTTGACCGGAGCGCGCGCCATTACCTGTCATCGCCTGTCACTGTGTCTGAAACGGAGGCCACATTTTGTCAGCGCGCTGCGGCGGTTATGTTAGGTTGGGTTATCATAATACGATAATCATAACCGAAGCGAGGAAAGTCCTACACACATAATATTTACGATAACCCAACCTAACATAACCGCTGCAGCGCGCTGACAAAATGTGGCCTACCGACATTGCTGCGTTCTGGGTTGCACAACGTCAGAACCAGGCGTCGGATTAATTCTAAACTTCACCTGTTAATCTATTAAAGTGTGTTCTTTCCAAGTATGTAGTTATTTTTGGTATCCGGTACGAAATATTTCTGTAGGTTAGGTGGCCTCCGTTTAATACTGAAGTACCTTCAAATCAATGTAGTACCTACTAAGTTATAATAATAATTCATTGTTAAAAATCTTTGTAGCCTACAAATAATTCTTCATTTCTACTGGATCGATTTAAGTTATTCGACGTGTTTTTAATTTGTAAAATTAACTTAGCTCTAGGCCTACATTTCTTTAATAACATATATTTGTACTTTAATGTTCCCAACTTCAAAGGAGAATACCCAAAAGCAACATTTTAAAATTGTTACCTCCTTAAAAAATTTAAATTGGTGACTTTTCAATATTTTCAAAATGTTTTAGGGTGATTATCAAATTGAGGGACAATTTAGGTCCCAGGCCAAAAAAATGTGAAAAAGTTAATAAAAAAATACAATTTTATTATGTTGTTGTTTATTTATCCCTATTTTATCCCTTGTAATCCTTATTTTTTACTTATTTAGTGAATAAATTAGTTTTAAATCTGTTAAAAGCTGATTTTTGTCAGTTTCGTTACTGTCCCCAGAGGCTAGTTTGAATATCATTAAACTCTAAAGTAATGTAGAATCAAAAAGAAATCTGTAAACTAAATATAAAACGTAATAACTAATGTCTGTATATTCTTATACCACACCTATATTTTCCATAATATTGTTATTTAAAGAGAAAATAATAAAAAACTGCGTGTCCCCGGCTTTTGCCATCGTCTGCAGAGATATTTTAAATTCGCGCTACAAACTACGTGATTCGCCGATATCCCGCCCAATCATACTACAGTGGCAAAAGGAACTAATGAAGTTTGCGGTGAAAGTGTTTCGTGTGGGTATTTTCTTTATATTTCGAATGAAATAAATAAATTCAGGACTACTGAAGGTAAGTACCTTTATTACACATCAGTTTCGTTACTCATGTTTATATAAAACTAATATGTTAATTGTTCTAATTAAGGTTTAGTAGTAGACAGTAGGTCAGTACAAACATAACCTATACGTCTCTTCGCTCACCCTGGCGATGTTCAGCACCATCTGGCGCGAAAATGTCAAGATCGTCAGTTACGTTACAGTCATTTTCGTTCCGCTACGAAACTGACGTCAGATTTCGTTACGTAATGAAACTGACGAAATCGTAATGAAACTGACGAAACCGTGACGTATCTGACGATTTTTGTATTCTGTATAAACATAACTGATTTTTTTTATAATACTACCTGTTCTTCTAATGGTTTGTTATTATGCGGGACAATAATAAGCAATTTAGAAAAAAGTGTAACATAATGTTTTTGCCGCACCTCTCGTTTTTTCTTGTTTTCTTGCATCCTCGATGTTTTTCTTGTTCCTGTTGATCTTATCTTAACCACACTAAGATTTAATATCATTTTTATATTTTCGGGTATCATTCTAATGCAGGATTTTTTTTTCTTTACAGTTGCTAGATTGAAAAAATGGCGAAAAAAACAAAGAAAAAGACAGTTGAATCAAAAAAACTGGAAAGGCAAAATAAACTCGCCGCAAATCGTCAAAAAAAATATAGAGACAAAATGTCAGAAGAACAGAAAGCTGAATACAGAAAAAAGGCAAGGGAAAGATATCAAAAAAGGAAAGCAGAGAACAAAGTAAAATTTATAAAGGAACTTAGCGCTAAAGAGCAAAAAGAAAGAAGAAAAAGGTGGAAAGAAGACTCAAAGAGGTATCGCGACAAGAAGAAAATGCAAGAGAAGGCCTTGGAAAACACCCCCCCTGAATCTGGAGAGGAAGAAGACATTGTACAAGTGCCCCAACAAGTTTCAAGACAAAATTTGAGTGGAAGAAAGAAAGTAAGACGGGATCGAGCAAAGGCATATAGAGAGCTTAGAAAAAAGGATGAAAAAATATTAAGTTTGGAAAGAAAACTGGAAAAATGTAAAAAACGGTTGCAAAGATTGAAAAAAAAACAAGTAAAAGTGACAATCAAACACTAGCCTCACCCTCACCTTCAAAGAAAGTGAAAGAAGTGATAGGTAAAGATCGTGTATCTCCCAATGTACGCAGACAATTATTCATTGGGTTTGCGTTGCAAAAACAATTAAAAACACAACTTCAAAGTGTAAGTCCTAAAACTAAAGAAATCCAAATAGTACGAAAAGTGGTTGGAACTAAAATCTTAAGGAAATACAGACTTCAAAATCAGTTGAAACAAATTCTTCCGTACAAATGCAATAAGCATGAGACTGACAAAGTGAATGCTGAATACTCAAGAAAAGTTTACCGGACAATTAAAGTTAAGGACTCCAAAACACTTCAAAAGTTCTTTGAAGATGACACCGTCTCAAAAATGTGCCCAGGAAAGAAAGACGTGGTGAAGAAAGCCAAAGTTAAAAAGCAGCGTCGAATCCTTTTGGACACCATGAAGAACCTGTATCTGAGATTTGTTAAGGAATATGGGCGAAAAATCTCATACTCTACATTTACACGTGTAAGGCCGTTTTGGGTCCAGCCTCCAAATGCAAGAGACCGCGAAACGTGTGCTTGTATTATACACGAAAACATGCAACTCCTGGTAAATGCTCTAAAACGTTCAAATGTTATAAAGTTTGCCAATGCAAATGATCTCGTGAACTGCCCAACTGAAGAAGTGGAGTTTCATGGTGACATAGTTGATGAACTTAAATTCCATCAGTGGAAAACGGAGTTTGAAATTAAAGACATTAAAGGAGTTTGTAGGAAAATCAGAAAGACTGTTAAGTCTGAAGTGTCTGAGCCAATAGCAAAAGTAAAGAAACGTTTCTATAAGTCTCTGGAAGTGTTTAACAAACACGTTGCCAATCTGAAACATCAATCTAAGGCATTTAAACAGCTGAAGAGCAATCTAAAGGACGGTGAACTTATTTTTCACATCGACTTTTCTCAGAACTACGTTGCTAAGTATGCAAATGAAATCCAAGCCACACATTTTGGAGCATCCAAACGCCAGATTTCATTGCATACAGGGCTATTATATTATCATATTGGCGAGACAACAAAGGCTGAAACTTTTTGCACCCTCTCTGATAATTTAGACCATCATGCGCATGGTGTTTGGGCGCATATGGCACCTATTCTCGAAGAAACAAATGAAAGATTCCCGGATACTCATACAGTGCATGTGTTTTCGGATAGTCCGTCATCCCAGTATAGGAACCGGACAAACGTTTACTTAATGAAGACAATCCTACCGAACATTTTCAAAAAAGTCAAACGTGTGACTTGGAACTTCAGTGAACCTGGTCATGGGAAGGGGGCCATGGATGGCGTAGGTGGCCACATAAAAAGAAGCGCAGACTCAGAAGTCAAACACGGCAAAGATATCACGTGTGCTGCTGACATTGTATCAGCATTAAATGATAAGACCAAGACTCGGCTTCTTGAGATTCCTTACACTTCTATTGAATCTGCAAAAAAGGCCCTCCCTAAATCTATCCCAGAAATAAAGGGGATCATGAGTTTGAGGCAAATAACGTTTAGTACTGTTGGAAGTATGTTCGGCCGAAAACTCTCCTGCTTTGATTGTCCAGTCAACAAGGTATGCCCACATTTCGGTGTAATGCAAATAAATATCACCGAGGAAGCTGGAAATAAAAAATCCTCCAAACAAAAGACTCGGAATCAAAGTCACAAGAAAAAGGTACTCAAAGTTAGCGATGTTTTTACATCAAGTGACGAAAGTGACTTTCCACTTGAAGAGGAAGGGCCAGCAAGCACTAATCTGGAAGACTCATCCACTAAATATATTGGTAAGGAGCAAAAAAAATCATTATCAGCTTCATTTCAAAAAATAATAAAATTGCAATAACGTTCATGAAACATTAAAACAGTTTTTGCTAATAAATTAAAAGTTACATTAAATTAAATTACATTTAATTAAATGACTACTTAAAATAAATTTAAATCAATTAATTTAATAAATTTAAATTAATTAAATTAAAGGAAATGTTTTGTTTTCAAACATTCTATTAAATTAAAAAAAAACTTATGTCTTAATTGAAATTATAAGTTTAATGAAAATTGTTTTTATTTCAGATCCAGATCATATTCAAGCCGGGATATTTTTGATTGTAAATTTGAAAAATGAAAAGGATGTACCTTATCGCTATTTGGCTGTGTGCAGTTCAGCCATTGAAGACAATGGTGAAGTGGAGGTGACATTTGCTAAACGCGTTGGAGAGAATAACACTACTTTCAAAGTTGTGAACAGTGACAACTCGTTTGTTCATTTCACCGATATTGTTGAGATCCTTCCTCCTCCTGAAATGATCATGAAGGGGGATAGGTTTTTTTATGAATTCGACTGTGACATTGACGTACACCAATAGTTGTGAAAGTGACGTTCAGCGTTTTTTATTGCCTTACAAAAATAGTAGGGAAGGTCACGTTCAGCCTTTTTACTTACCTTAAATTTAGTATTAATTTCCAGTGTATTTATTTTATTTCTATAATAAGTTGGTAACACGTTCCTACGAAAAATAATCCTACGACTAAGTCAGTCTTGTAGTCAGTTTTGTTTCGACGAAAATCAGCTTATTCCAGCCGTAATGCTCGCCAAGGATGACGTCACGATAGAAGACGGCTATGACGTATAAGTACTTATTGATTTATTTTCCAATGAAAGATTAAAACAAGCAGCTGATCACAAACGGCAAAATTACGTCATTGCCGTCTTCTATCGTGACGTCATGCTGGACGAGCATTACGGCCTTATTCAGTATTTATGTTAGAAATAAGGATTACATGGGGGGTAAAATAAACATAAATAAACAACAAAATAATGTTTTTGTTAATTTGTATTACGTTTTTCACATTTCTTTGGCCTGAAACCTATATGTAGTGTCAGTTTCGTTACGTGATATCACCATTTTCGTCACGCGCGGTCAGTTTCGTAACACATAATCAGTTTCGTAACTCCCAAGAAATGTATTTTTTCATGGATATTTTCGTACTTGATTTGACCAACTAATATTTATTTGTAATAATACAATATAATTACATACTTTAACACAGAAACAAGTGCCTGACAAATTTTTTTCAGGCTGAAACAACAAACTTTGTCTTGCATCCTAAGCATATTTTCAATCAAGGAGAGGTTTTTCACAATTATTTATCTTAAAATATACTTTAATTTTAGTTTCTTCTCAGATTCTTGTTTTTAGACCCTTAATATAATTTATTAAAACTATTAACAAAACTTTTTTTTAAATTAAATATGTTTTTTAAGGAATTTTAAAACGTAACGAAACTGACGTTTTTTTTGTACTCTGCTCACAAAAAAACCTGTAAAAAATAGAAATTATTAGAATTAAGCTCTGTTGAACTAATTACTATGTTTTATATGACATATACTACTTGTATACAAAGAACCATACCAAAGTAAATTTGTTTATGAAAAAAATTTATTTGTTTTGATTTTGTCCCTCAATTTGATAATCACCCAATTTGAATTTGCACCAAGTTACTGATGTAACTGTCACTCATTCACACACAAGCTAGATAGTTGCAATCTGACAGGATGGCTAAACCGAGATACTTATACCCTAAATACTTAAATGAAATTACCATTTTAAAATATTTACCCCCCTCAACAAGAAATTAAACAAGTATTGTGCAGTGACTTAAGGCTGTCCTCACTTGCCATGTACCTTAAAGTTATTTCTAGTTTGTCCTGCATGAAATTGATTTCTCTCAAAATCTGATCTTTTTTTCTTTATCAATCCTACTGACATTTTTCTCAGCACAGTAAACACAGCCAAACTAAAGTACCGTACTTAGCCGCTACCTACAACTCGCCATGTGTGAACTCAGAGTATATTTTGTTGGTGAGCAGTAGCTGTGACTAATAATAGCGACGACTAAGCCACGGCGAGTTAGTCGCCAAGTGTAAACAACGACCCTTAAGGGAGGATTCAAATTGAATCTTTGATCCTAGGTAGAGCGGTAGCCACGGTAAGTTAGGTGTATTATGGCTCTGGGAATTGGGAATTTTTGGCAGGGAATTTCTCTCTAATCCTTGTATTTCCCCTACTTTTGTTGTAAACCTCACAACTTAACTTAACTTACCCTCTACTTTTAGGGCGAGGAATTCAATGAAACCATCGCCGCCTCCCTACAACCTACTTTTTAATAATTTTGTCCCCATTAACCCTAGGACTGCCCTGACCTGATTTATTAAAATTTTTGGACTTAGCTTGATTTCCAAAAGTAGAAACCTAGCATTTTATAACAATTTTTTTACAAACTATCTTAAAATATTGATTCACGTCACGCTATATCAATTGTCAATATTTTTTTTAGTTATTTAGAAACCGCTGTTGAAACGGCGCTTTGGGCAAAATGGCCAGTTGACAAAACAGCTGATTTCAAAAAATCAGTCTGTTCCAGACCCCCGGCGTGTTTGTATGCTTTGTTCAAGCAGGCCTGCAATGTCTTTAAGTTTTACATGTTTTAAATGTATATGTGTCCGTGTCGTGTCGTTTTTGTGTTGCGTGTTAATTTATTGAACAATGACGAAGCCATCTGGTGAATACAAAACTTCACAAGTAGGCTACTCAGCTGATGATGACAATGTGTCGAAACATGTACTGAAGTGAAACTCACGATTCAATGAGCTATTGACTTAAGAAGTAATCTAGTCTTACAATAATATCTACAGCTCAGAGAGGCTTAACAATAGATTTGAATTTGAAACAAACATGTCTTTTCCATCTTATAAAAACAAATTTCAAACTGTTCAAGAAAATTGGTTGGGTTATGTTAGGTTAGTGTCAATTTGTAATGCAGTGTGTAAATTAAATCCTGAAACAAATCTGTAATTTTTAAACCAAAATAGATAGAACTATTTCGTTGAAGCATAGATTCTTAACAAAGGTTCCGCAATTTTTTACGCCAAAAATTGTTTAACCCCCCTAACAGGGTAGAGGGTAGGGGTTGACTTATTTTTTTCAAATAGCAACCCCTAAGGGCTTGTCAAAGGAAACACAATGACACAAACCCGAGGTGAATATCTCATCCCTAGCCAAAATGGCGGGTATTCCAAAATCGGTGCTTTTTCACATAAATCAAATTTTGGAATACCCGCCATTGCTAGGGATGAAATATCTACCTCGGGTTTACGTCATTGTGTTTCTTTTGACAAGCCCTTCAAAATGAGGGGTTGTTATTTAAAAAAAGTATCACCCCCACCCACTACCCCCCTATTAAAGGGGCTAAAAAAATATTGTTAATGTAAAAATTTGCGTAAAACAGAATATTTCTATCTATTTCGGTTTAAAAAATACAGATTTGTTCCTACATTTGTGAAATAGGTGCTTTTTCACATACAGCACACTGTATATCAATTGGTCACAGATTTAACATACCTATTGGCTAGTCTAGGGTTGGTTAAGTCTGCCACTACACCATTATCATAATGGGACATAAAGGTTACATGGTGAAAAATTAAGCTAAGCCACTCGGTGAAGTGAAGAGAAGAACCGAACGAAACGTGTATTCCTTTTTCATTTTTCATAATCCAGTCCAGAAATGAAATAAGTCTAACCAAGAGGTGTTTAAATTAGGTAACTTAATCTTAATTTTAATCAATATTTTATATAAGTACTTAACGTTTTTAAAGTTTTTTAACATATTTTTATAATCTTGTTCTGACATTTTCAGGTTGTGTGGGGTATCATCAACAATTCATTTTGTTCATTTAAAGTCAAGTGAGTATAATATAAAAATAATATTAACGTAGTCTATGCCATTAACAAAAACCAAATACCCTTTTGCAATATTTATATTAAACTGTGTTAACAAAAAGAAAGAAATGGTGAAAGGAAAACGTATCTAAATAGTAAAAGTAACCTTAATACCTTCTCCTTCGGCTTTTACCCACAAAGTGGGATTGACAGTGTCATTTAACATGGTTACTGAACAAAAAACGGTACTTGAGTATTAAACGGAGGCCACCATTACGAAACGCGCCGCGGCACTTATAGAGGGTTAAATTGTTATAGATGTTGTAGTAGAACTATTCTAGTATTGTTGTGAGTCGAGCGTTATCAGATGAGTCATGGTAGAATCCCCTCCAAGTAGGCCAAGGTCAGGGTCGTTGACCGGAGCGCGCGCCATTACCTGTCATCGCCTGTCACTGTGTCTGGTCAGCTATATCAGTTATAAAACTAAACTATCATAACCTAACCTAACCAACCAAACTTGCTGATAGTGAAAACATCGAATGAAGGTTTACTAATAAAATAATCAGTATTATCATAGCTAAGTTAAGAAACTGTAGGTTAGGTGGCCTCCGTTTAATACTCAAGTACCCAAAAACCTTATATTTACAATACTTCCGGCAGGCTGTAGGTTTCTTAAGTCATCCCTTAGATATTCTGAGATTTCATAATAGGCTCGGGTCTTGATGAAAGAGGTAAACACTGACTCAAAAGTTTTAAAATCCAACATTTGGATATGTTGTGACAGCTTATTGAACAAACTTATGGCGGTAACACTGTAACTAGCTTGGGTCCTAGATAATCGCACCCTGGGTACATGAAGCTGACGGTGCTGCCTAGTCATGACGAGTGCTGAAGTTGGTTATATTGGCCCTAACGTGCAACACACAGAGAAGTATGTTGTGGCCAACTACAGTAAGCAAACCAAGTCGTGCAAAGAGGGGTTTGCAATGAGCACGATACTCACTCCCAGTAATAAGCCTTACTGCACGCTTCAGGAGCCTAAGCACTTCTACAACATTTGACGAGTGTCCCCAGAGAGGAAGGCTGTAACTGACATGGCAGTGAAAGAAGGCGTGGTACACCATCACCAAGTATGCCTCTGTTACGCAGAATTTTAGTTTTAGGAGGAGGAAACAGATCCGTGAGAGTCTGTTGGTGGTCTGGTATGTGATGTGTCCAGCTGAACTTCCCATCAGGAACAAATCCAAGCAGTTTTACTGGATCCTGAACACCAGGCTGATCTCTGGAAAGGCTGCAGATGATGTGCTGTGTCTTATCCTCGTTGAGTTGAAAACGGTTAGCCAAAAACCAGGCAGTTTCTTCAAGGCACTGTCTGGAGATTTCCAAAGCTTGATCGATGTTGGTACCCGCTGACAGGAGAGAAGTGTCGTCCGCAAACATGAGTGGTAGTTCCAAGGCCGTCAAGATCATTGATCATGATGAGAAAAAGGGTAGGCCCAAGCACTGAACCCTGCAGAACACCAAAATCGACACAACGACCTGCGAGCGTCGTTTGAGGTAAGTACTCATGATGGCAAGAGCAGCCTCCCTGAGCCCATAGAAGTGGAGTTTCCTTTTCAAGATGGAGTGGGAGACACAATTAAATGCCCTACTGATATCACAGAGGGTCAGCGAGAGAGCTTGACAGTTTTCAAATGCGTTTTCCACGCTCGCCTCAACTTTCGCAAAAGCATCAACGGTTGCCCTGCCCTTACAGAAGCCAAACTGCATGTTCGAGAAGAGGTGAAGTCCTTCAAAAAAATGCTTCAAGCTGGGGTGTTATGGTGGCTTCAACAATCTTTCCAAAGACAGGTGTTATGGAGATGAGCCGATAGCTATCAAGCCTCTGGTGGTCACCCTTCTTGTAGATAGGGGCAGTTTTCAAAGTCGTCAGAAAGTCCTGGAAGACGCCACAACTCAGGCAGTCGTTGACAGCAGCAGCAAGTGGAATGGTGATGGCATAAAATGTTTTTTAAGTATATTGGTGGACATACCAAACACATCAGGGCTCCTAGATGGCTTGAATGACATAACCAACTTTCTGAGGTTGTGAAGAGTTGTAGGTTGGAAAACCGTTAGAGTATCAGGTGGAAGATTTACTCTAGATTCCAGAAGCTGGATGGGGTCCACATCTACATCAGGTAAGGCCTCAACGGTAGTTCTTACAGAGTGAATGAAAAATCCGTTGAAGGTGTCGGGGCTTGCAAAGTCAACAGGCCGTCTAGTGCATGACTTGATTGCTATAGCTGGACGGGGACGTGCTTGGACTGCTCTAGCAGGACGGGTGTTGTTGTGCTTGGATTGCTCTAGCAGGACGGGATCGTGCTATGGATTGCTCTAGCAGGACAGGTGTCGTGCTATGGATTACTCCAGCGGGGCGGGTGTCATGCTCGGATTGCTCTAGTAGGACGGGTGTCATGCTCGGATTGCTCTAGCAGGACATGGGTCGTGTTTGGATTTCTCTAGCAGGACGGGTGTCGTGGTTGGATTGCTCTAGCGGGATGGGTGTCGTGCTCGGATTGCTCTAGCAGGACGGGTGTCGTGCTTGGATTGCTCTAGCGGGACGGGTGTCGTGCTTGGATTGCTCTAGCGGGACGGGTGTCGTGCTATTGATTACTCTTGCAGGACGGGTGTCGTGCTTGGATTGCTCTAGTAGGATGGGTGTCGTGCTCGGATTGCTCTAGCAGGATGGGTGTTATGGTTGGATTGCTCAAGCAGGACAGGTGTCGTGCTCGGATTGCTCTAGCAGGATGGGTGTCATGCTCGTATTGCTCTAGAAGGACGGGGTCATGCTCGGATTGCTCTAGCAGGGCGGGTGTCATGTTTGGATTGCTCTAGCAGAACGGATGTCGTGCTCGGATTGCTCTAGCAGGACAGGATATCTCTAGCAAGTGGAACTCGTAGGTAGGTAGGGGAAGGTAAAACAGGTACAGGGTTGTATGGGGTACGTTACACTATATACGTTTGTACGAGTCCAAATAAAGTTGAAGATCTAAACTTTTTACATTTTACATTTTTACTTTAATTGGTGTACGGTAATCAATTAATATCTAAAAAACTGTTTTCATAAAAATATGTTACTACAGTTCTTAATTTTTTCCCATATGTGACAAAAGATTCATAGATACCTTACATGACATAGAAATTCAGGAAAGGAAACTAAACTTATTAAAAATCTAACTTTTTGTATTTTTTTATAGCACAAAAACTCAGCAGTTTTGCAGAAATGAATACAATCTCACAGGAACATGTAACAGATCTTCCTGTCCACTTGCCAACAGTCAATATGCCACCGTAAGAGAGGAAAAAGGAATAATCTACCTTTACATGAAGACTACAGAAAGGTAATGGTATTCTAATTACACCGTTTAGTATTTCTCATGTATAGAATGAAACAACGTTGAATGGGTAATTAAACTCGAACATGGTACTCTTTGTCCATCTTCTGAACATGACACAAATATGCTGCAGTACAGTACGATAATCTGATTTTCAATCATTTTACCTTCTTTCTTATCTAACCCTATCCGCGGATATTCCAGTGTGATGGAATCATTTCCATGAAGTAAGACTGCACACTATAGCAGGATTGTCAAGACAATTGTCTTAAGATAGACATCCTTTTGCTGCTTTTCTATACTAAAAAATAAATTGACGGAAAATATATATGTATATACAGGGTGAGGCAATGAGAACGCTACAATTTGTTTTACCTGTCACATGTTAATTGTTGCAACAATGAATGTTCAGCTGTGCTTAAAACATCAATTAAACTATGCCATTTTAGTAAATATTATGCCTGAGGCTATTAACACTGAGATTTTGATGTGGAAACCTATTTATAAAATAGTGGTTCATGTGCAAAAACCCAGAGATTGTTTGGACCGTATTCCATCCTTGGTCATAATGGCGCTGTTCCAGATTGGAAAACAATGTTGAACTGGGTAAAATTATTTAGGATAATCGCTTGAAAAAAAAAATAATAATAATCGGTGGGTGCCGCAAAACTCTTTGTACACCAGCAAATGTTAAAAGAATATGAGTCCAAGTAACTCAAAGTCCGAAGAGATTTGCCAGGAAGCTTTTGTTGTTGAAAGCTTTACGTTGGCTAATTTTTTTGGGAGGGGTGGGTTGTTCTAATAAGCTACTTGACGTTCTAGGTTTTTCAAAGTCACCCCACAGATTTGCTTGAACCGAAGCTAAGGATAGTCCAAAAACTAAAGTGAATCCTGAAGAAGTGCTGGAGGAGTATTTGATGGAGTTTCAAGTGGCTAAAAAGGAATGTCAAGTAGTACAATGAAGTCACTTGTAGGATTTTGTTCTCAAGAAATGGAAAAATGACTTTATTAAGTTAAAATGGCAAAAGATAAGCTGTGTTTTGGTGTGCTATTTATATCCATAGGGTGAATATTATTGAGTTTGTACTGTTTATAAATTGGGGCGCTTTCATTGCCCCTCCCTGTATATAACAAATGAATAACAACTTTATCTATATAGGCCTATATAAAGCTCAAATACCACTGACTCACTCACTCATCACGAAATCTCAGAAACCATAAGACCTAGGAACCTGAAACTTGGCAGGCATCTTCCTTTTGGGCAATAGACGCTCACTAAGAAAGGATTTTACCCTCCGACCTCTGGGCTCCGCCCCAGTGGCTCTGGAGTTTCCCATGTTAACCTTATGAGTACTCATATTTAAATGGAATTAATAAATCTTAACAGCTGTTTCAATTAAACAAGTTGGTTCTGTTCTATGATGTTCAATAGCATTAAAGTTACAAGGATTACCATCAGAGTGCAGCACTATTATTTCTTTTACATTTATGACAACAGCTAATTTGCAACCAAAAGGTGAGTGAGCGTAGCGAACGAACTTCAACCTGGAGGCGAGTTAGCATAGCGAACGAGCTAACCTGAAGGCAAGTGAGCGCAGCGAACAAGCTCTAATCCAAAAGTGAGTGAGCGTAGCGAACGAACTTCAACCAGGACGTGATTGAGCCATGCGAACGAGCTCACTTATGAAGTTAAACGGGGCAAAGCCCGCGGGTACAGCTAGTATATATATATATCGGAATATATATATATAACAAAGCGGCACTTTTTGATGGAAACCATGAGCAATATTGTTAAATTAATGGATTTTTTCTACAACAATCATGGTTTTTCAGGTCTGCTTTTCCTAGAAAAACATGGGAACGAGTTAAATTATCAAGAAACTTTGAAAAGGCCATATATCAAATAAACGAAAATCTACTTTTTTGGCCTCAATTTATCAAATCTAAATGCAAGCAAAGGTTTGTCAAAATAACCCAGTACCTGATTCGGATGAGGAAGTTGAGGCTAAGGAGACAGTAAGTATACTGTTGACATTTTCATTTCATGAATATTAAATAATAGTGTTATTTTGTTATAATAATATGAGATGATATTTTTCAGAAACTCTATTATTAAATGAATCTGTTACATTTTTGTATTCAGCAAATCAACCCCTAAATATTTAGTCTTATAGGCATATTGGGTATCAATTTAAAGCTCTTATCCTCAAGATGTGCCTTTGCGGGTTTGGATGATATCCCGTTAAAGCCCTACATCCCATAGGCTTTTAAAATTTCAGAGTTTGTGCTGATCAAGTCGGTTGATCCACTGCTGTAGCCCAGTGTACTCATTTTAGTATTAAGACCAGGGCTGAGAACAATGCTATACCTCCCCTCGAAATTGACTTGTAACAATGTTCATGGTGGAACACCACACATAAGTTTTTGTTTTTCAAATGAGCTGTTTAAAACGATTACATCATTTATATTGGATAATATTATTATTTCAGGAAGAAGCTTGTTCCATTGCCCCGGAAGGTAGAGAGAAGGATAAAGAGGAGGGAAGAAAAAGCACTTATTGCTGCTCAGCTGGACAATGCAATAGAGAAGCAGTTGATGGAAAGATTGAAGAAAGGAGTGGTAGGCCTAAGATTGCATCACTTAGTTTGTTTTATAATCTTAAGACTTGTTCTGTAGAAAATACAATTTGCTACAACAATAATTTGCAGTGAATGTTAAGTTTGATAATAATAATAATACAAGTTCACTAGCCAATAACTATTAATCAAATTGCCGAACACGGAACATGAGCAAAATCTCAAAATTTATTTCTTTAGATAACATTACCGGTGTACATAAACTTCCAATAGACTTCTGTGATTTTCAAAATTAATTTTTAAAATAAACAAAGTGAGTTTTTATGATAATACTAGCTGTAACCCGCGGGCTTTGCCCCGTTTAACTTCTTAATTTTCAAGATTATCTCGTTCGCATGGCTCAATCACGTCCTGGTTGAAGTTTGTTCGCTACGCTCACTCACCTTTAGGTTGGAGCTCGTTCGCTACGCTCACTCACCTTTAGGTTGGAGCTCGTTCGCTGCGCTCACTTGCCTTCAGGTTAGCTCGTTCGCTACGCTAACTCGCCTCCAGGTTGAAGTTTGTTCGCTACGCTCACTCACCTTTTGGTTGCAAATTAGCTGTTGTCATAAATGTAAAAGAAATAATAGTGCTGCACCCTGTTGGTAATCCTTGTAACTTTAATGCTATTGAACATCATAGAACAGAACCAACTTGTTTAATTGAAACAGCTGTTAAGATTCAATAATTCCATTTCTCATAAGGTTAACATGGGAAACTCCAGAGCCACTGGGGCGGAGCCCGAAAGGATTTTTGAAATTAGAATATGCCTATATGTTAATCGGGAATGTGAGCTATCATCATGCCAAATTTCAGCCCAATCCGACCAGTATTTTTCGAGTTTACTTTTCCCATACACACATACAGCAACCACCTCTTTTTTATAATAGTATAGATAGATTGAGAATATGTAGCAATAATGTTTTTAACTCAGCTGAACAATTAATTACTCTACTCAGACAAATAAGCATGTAATGTTCTAATCATAAGCCAGATCTCAAAAGTGTTTATTAAAATGTTATCGGAAACATCTATAATCTTACTCTTGAACTTTGTATTGTGAACTTGTTTGTTTGAAACTGAACTTTCACATTGCAGTATGGAGACATATACAACTTCCCACAGAATGTATTTGAGAAGGCACTGGACAAAGAAGAAGTGGAGGGAGAGGACGAGAGTGAGCAGGAAGAAGAGGAAGAGGACGAAGAAGCTGTAAGTATTCCAATATCTGTTATCATATGGTACATAAATTGATTAATTATGTTCTTTTTATCTATATTAAGTTGATGTGTTTGTGGCATGAGTTTCCTTTTGCAAATCCATGTTTTGTTTTGGCCTGAGAATTTTGGTGACTAAGTGAAGCTTTAACATTGAAAGAATAATAAATGTCCATGCCACAGAAAACTTGCAGAATAAGCTAAATTACAATTGCCTTGTTGGATTTTTCACTAACATATTTCCTCAAACTTGTAAGATTTATTCCCTATTCAAATCAAATTAGTACATTAACAGAGAAGTAAGGTACAGAGGAACCAACCCATGGAAAGTCCAACACCGCCCCCCTCCCCTCATTTACACTCACTCAGGGTGGAAGAAGACCCTGTGCCCTATGTGTGGTAGTAATTTCCATACAGCTGTCAACGCTCGGGCTCTTCCTTGCTCGTCAGAAGTATATTTCCTGCACAACATACTAGAGCTGAAAGCGCACAGTCGACCATAAGCAAGTTTCATATGTAAAAAAGTGCGCACCGATTTCGTACATTTTGGTGCGTGCGCACTTGACAAATCAGTCTGCGTCCAGCCAGTCAGAAGAAACCTCTCGCTGCCCGTTTTTCACAATTTCAACTTAACATGTGCGCTGCGATTGAAAATGCCGCCAGTTGTGAGTTGTAACGGTTGGTGCGGTCAGTGATACGGTTTTTGTTGGCAAAAAGCTTAAAACCGATAGACATTTATCGCCAAGTGTGTGAAGTTTAAGCAAACAACGTAATGAATGAAAGTTCTGTGGAAAATGGTGAATTCAGTTTAAAAATGGCTGAACCGACGCTCATGAGTCAAGACGAAAAGAAGGGCGGACGCCCGAGCATTCATTGTGACTGATGGAACTGGTCGCTGATGTTGATAAATGGTTCGCGAAAACAGCCGGAGCTGAGGAAAACTTGAGGAAATCAAATCCAATGTTTTCCTCAAGTTTCACAGACTTTGTTGTTTGAAATTGTCACATAACAAAGCGAAAGCTCTGTTATCGCGAATCAGTGGTTTTCGCGCACCTTTTCATCAACATTAGCGACCAGTTACATCAGTCACAATGCTCGGGCGTCTGCCCTTTGCTCAGTTCGGCCATTTTTAAACTGAATGCACCATTTTCCACAGAACTTTCATTCATTACATTGTTTCTTTAAACTTCACACACTTGGCGATAAATGTCTATTGGTTTTAAGCTTTTTGCATAAAACCCTATCAATGACCGCACCTCACAACCGATTTTCAATCGCAGGGCACATCTTAAGTTTAAATTGTGAAAAAAACGGTTAGTGCAAGGATGATCCCGTTGACACGGCTGGACGCCGACTGAGTTGCCGAGTGCAGACGCACCAAAATCTACGTGATTGGGGTGCGCCTAACGGCATCAGAAAGAAACGTTCCTTACTTTCTGGATAGCCCTTGTTAGCTGGTTAGCTCCAAAAAGTGACCTAAGTATGTGGTCTCCAATGGACTTAAATTAATTTTATAAAATATTCACTGGTAAAAAAAAAAAAACTCATTCTCATTCTCATGATGAATTTTAATGGATGGTGTTTTTATGTCTGAGACATAAAAATAAGTAAAGCGGTCCTAAGTCTAGTCTTATGGTAATAATCTAGACGATGGTAATACATTTTTCCCTATATGAGAAATTTGCTAAAAATGAAAAATTATTTCGATTTATTCATAAAAAGCAATCATAATATTCAGGGGTGGGAATGTATTGGATTTTTCACTTGTCATATTTTTACCTTTTGTAATAAAAATTTTTAAATTATTTAAAAAAATTATTGTTTTTAATTAAGTATTTAAAAAATTAAATTATAAATTATTTTTTAAATAATTTTTATGTCACACCTTCACATTCCAGGACGTAGGCTGTACCAAGGATCCGTGTTATACATTACTTCAGGCTTGGCCTAAATAGGTTGCAGCATTTTATATGGATAAAATAAATTGGTGATTGACGGAATTTGAACCTGGGACCTTGGAGACCTAAGTCCTCTGCTTTACCATACCACTAAACCAGCTTGCTCCCGATTAAATGTGTCATAGAGTTTAAACTTATTTGATACTGAACCAACAATTATTTTCATGGAAATGCAACAAAAGATAAGTCAACAGGAGCAATTAAAAGAAGTATATTAATTAATTATGATACAACAAAAATATATACACCATTAGTAAGTGGTACAGTAATTTAATAAATAGAAGATATTTTTATCTTGATTCTGCCCGGTGATCGTGTTCCTCTATGCGTGGATGACGAATTATATCACCTTCTTCAGCTCCTTGTCTCGGATTTCAAGCTTTAATGACCTCCTACTGAGTTCATTAAAACTTTCTCTTACAGTAATAAAAAGTTTGCATGGTGTGATTGTGATCATAGCTATACTTTGGAAGCCAAATATGATAATTTTGCAAGATGTGTATCATGAATAATTGTATCTATGACTGTATTCACAGGGATAAAAAAAAAAACACTTGTTTCAGGAGCTGGATCCTGATATAGAGAAAGAGCTGCAGAAACAGCCTGAGTTTGTGGAAGGTGATAGTGGAGATGAAGACGATGAGGTTAGCATTGTAAAAGTGTTGTGCGTTATCATCTTTCACATTGAAATTAAAGAACAAAATTAGGTATTCTTGGTAAAGGGCTCTAGATCAGAATAGGATTGTAAACAGGCCTACCCATACAGTATCTAGCCTTCTCAACATGTAACATATAAATAAACACACACAACATTGACACATTTCATATTCACTGGCCACTCAGTCTCTCACAGAAAAGGAAAGATTATAATGATTTTTGTGCGACATTGTAATAACTATTGTTATCTCATGCAATGTTTCAAATTGATTTAAAACTCATTAACTTATATCCCCTGAAATAAAACCGTTGATATTCATGTCTATAAGCAAAACTTCAGTTACAAAAAATGTTGATGAATGTGAGTTTATGAAATTAATTAATTTGAATTTAAATTAAAATTAGGTGAAATTAAAAAAAATAGTTAAATTAAATTAACATTATTTTAAATTAAAAATTATTAATTCTAGTTTATAAAATTAGTTAGAAAATGAAAAATTTTCTCGTTTTAGATGTCAGACAGTGGGGATGTGGAATCATTGGATGACTTTGACGAATCAGACATTGAGGATATTGAGGTAATACTTTTACAATAATGAATAATAGTGGTTTATAGTTTTGTAAAGTTACAATGTTGTACAACTTGTAAAGTGCCTATTTTGAGTGTGGTAAAACTAACCTATTAATGGTCTGGCCTAACCATGGGTATAGCCTACCTATCTAAGGTTAAAGGTTAGAAAGCTAACCTTAGTTATAACATCATTGTTTATGATAAGCATGCTACACTGTTATGTTTTGTAATAAACAAGTGTTGAAGTATAGAATGAGAGTTATTAATTCTGTATTAGCGTGTTTAAACCTTATACACTTTTATAGCTTTTTTATAGTGTTTTGTTGCTTATTAACTCACCAATGTGTTTCGCAAGCTAGGGCTTAACCCGGCATAATACTTGGACGACACTTCATACACTTGATATACCCGCATGTTGCAGCCTTAGGCTGATAATCCATCCCAAAGACGCGAGGAAATCTGGTGTGAATAATATTAACTGACAACTTGAACTTAAAATTATTGTCATGTAAACCAAACGTGACATAACCTTAAGTCAACAAGCCAGAGCTCTGACAATTTGTCAGCTGCAGACGACACCCAAGGACGTCAGCGGCAATAGATAAATAAGATGTCTCCCCAGGTGTAGCACCGATATTGGGGGTGTGTGATGGAAAACCTAGCCTGCAGTGAAGACCAGGTGAGGTCAGATTAACCTGAGCTATCGATGAGCTGTGGGGCGGAAAGAACCTCACTCTATAGCCGAGGCCAATAGGTGAGCATGAACCCTATACTACAGTGGCAGACGGAGAATATACTACAGAATATACTCTTTAAAACAGTGGCAGAAGCTCGAAGTACTGCGACTTCTCAGGGACTGAGTGATGAACCAGATTCCCGATGACTGTGTGTGACGATACATGTAGCTCACATCACGGAAGGCAACTAGAGTCAATGGACAGCCATCACCTGACCTGATCACTGCGGTGGCATGTGTCTGTGTGATGAACCAGACACCCAGGACAACGACGGAGACCGATGGGGCAGATGACTCCCGGCAGTAGTCTCAATTGGGGGCACGATGGACACCCAGCAAGCAGTGAACACCAGGTGAGGTTGGAGCCTCAGCCTGTAGCTGCTACGATAGGTGGGTGATCCGAACCCTGACTACAGTGGCAGGTAGAGTTCCCTAGAGTACCGCGACGACATAGGGATCTGTGTGTTGAACCAGATTCCCCTTGGACTACATGTGGACATTTAAGACGAGTTCGGGAATTACAACTAACGATAATGGAAGGTTATCACGTGGCTCACTATGGTGGAAGTGGCAGTGACAGGGTTCCATGCGATTCCCTATGATAGCACCAACATGTGTCCATGCAACAAGCAGGATACCCGTACGACATCATCAACAAGAGTCCGTGCGATTTGCCGGATTCCTAGACGACATCACTGGCAGGTATCTGTGTGCACAACCAGATGCCCAGACGACAGTGGCGACCCATAGGAAGTATAACTCGAGCCTGCAGTAGCAGCTATGGCGGTTATGACAGGCCCAGCCTGCAACGACGGCCAGGTGAGGCCGGATGAGCCAAGCCTATTCTAACGAGAGGTTGGGCGGAATGAGCCTCAGCATGCAGCTATGACATCAGGAGGGCGATCGTGAACCCCAGGCTACAGTGACAGATGGAGTTAACCCACATGTGTTGAACCATAGACAATAGAGTAAATATAGACTGTCAAAGAAAGGTTTTGCGATCTGCCGCTAGAGCGTTATCGCCGTTCGATATCGGTTATCGGTATTCTATTCGGTTTCATCGTCAACTACTCGCCAGCTGTTACCAGCACTACCACTCTTACAAACGAAATTATTACTATATCACTATTATCTTCTTCTGCAATCGCGTCAAAATCATGAACATCCTCTGCGGCTGTGTAGACATCATCATTGAATGCCGTGGTCGTGAAACGTCATCGTCGTCGACGATTGCGGCAAAATCGTGAACATCTTCAGCGGCCATGTAGACATTATCGTTTTGCGTGATCGTAGAAAAGACGTGATCGTTTCTCCCGCGGTCACGAAAATGTCGTCTAGCACGGTCGTGGTTTAACACGTAGAGTGCGGCCGTTCCCGATCGGGTACGGCGCTTGGCCCCCGTACGGTGCGTCCGTACCCCATCGGGAACGCTCGGTAATGCCTTTTGTATATCTTCGTTTTTGCTCTAGCGTCGGCCGAAAGCGGACCTATACGACGTTAGCGTGTAGTATGTGACTTGCAGTTTGTTGTGGTGTAGGTTGGTAGTAAATTTCCCCTTAAAATCCCCGTCTGGCAATCTCAAAAGTCTTCTTTTTGTCCCGTCTTTTTCCCTCGATTTGGCAATACAATTCCAATGGGACCGGCTACGTTCCAAGCAATGCTGCTATCTGTGGGTGTTTAGCGAACTACATCGACTCTCGTTGTAAAGCAGGACATCCCCTCACGTTGTTTGCTATTCATCAGACCAAAATTGGAAAGCCAATCACACGCGGCAATCGGGTTTACTCGACGCTGAGGGCTGCGCCGCACTGGGGATACGCCCGCTATTTGACGTGCCGCAGCGAACGTGTTAAGAACATCTCCCGCGGTCGTGTCATCATCGTCTTGTGCCGTCACGGAAACGTGATCGTTTAGCGCGATCGCGGTAAAATCATTAAATTTCCCGACTTTGATATCAAATAAAGACTAAATCCCAACTTTTCAAGACCATTTTGAAATTCAATACTAAAACCTGACTTTCCCGTTTTCCCAGACTACTAGACACCCTGGTTAGTTAGATTTTACCTTGCAAATATAAAACAAAACCTTCCAATAAACCACTTCCTAAAATTATGGATTAATAAAGTAAAACTTTGAATCATTGTAATGAAACTACAACGATATGTTTGTTGTATGTATGTTGATATGTTGTTGTATAACAAATATATGTTTTAAAAAACCATAAATTATGGCATTTAAATTAATTTACAACATAATATTAAATAAGTCAGTAAACTCCAATTCCGGGGAATTCCTCCAAAGTTGGCAACACTACTCCCAACTACCAAGTTGTTATGGAAACGGTCGCTAGTGCTAGATGCTGCAGCGGTGTGCGCCGTAACTACACATTACCCCTAGCGGTCGGTGCCGGAATATACGCTAACCGCAGCACAGCTGACAGTCTATATTTATTTCTTTTTGTCTATGGTTGAACCCAACCGCCAGAGTGGGTCCATGGAAGGCCACCACGTTGATCACTGAGATAGGAGGGGCAGTGGCTGGTCCTTGAGGATCGATCCGGACCACCTCGACATCTGTGTGATAAACCAGATGCTCTAGATCGCCAACGTGGTATACCTCAGCCAAGGCAACAGACGGTTGAGTGTGAAAGGTAAAATCTAGAAGCGAACCCTGGAAGGCCAACCCAGATCTCTGAACTGAGGCCTATCCAGGAACTTAGTGCTGTATTGTGCGTGGTACTTGAACCTTCCATATCAAACTGGTGTTTTATATTACAGTATAGAAAAATACATCACAAACTAATCGTCGTTCTAACTCAAGCCTAAAAAATATTTTGGTGGTTTCAGAATCCTTGTTTTCTATAAAAAATGTAATTAGCTTCTTAGTCTTGTATTGTGTATATCCTATAATAATGATAACTAGGAGAAACCCGTCAAAATACTGATACAGACACATAATCTTGAGGTTTCACTCGATTCATCAAACTCCATCAAGCACAGCATTATATATCAAATTTTCTGTTTACAAAACCTGTGATCAAACATGAATGTACTAGTTCAGAGTTTCTGGATTGAATTACCATATCTTCTTGGATATTTTCATTTGACATCTTTGATCTCTTGATAATTGAATGAGATTTATTCTGGTTTTGATATTTCAATACTTTTACTTTACTTTTCTACTTACTAATTAAACAGATATTCTAAATTGAACTATATTTTCAGTATGACATTCCAAATTGTTTACTTAGTGACTCATAAACACATTTTAAATGATACTTGCGTGGATATATTTATAATTTAAGTGTAAGTAATAACTATTATGTTTTAACATTTTCAGGAGGTGTCCGAGCTAAAAGAACCATCCAAAGCGGCAAATATCAAAACTGCTAAGTCCAAGAGGCCACACTTGGAGGTTGAATATGAAAGTGAGACATCTACCAGACCGAAAACCAAGCGGAAAGATGTTTCATTCTAGAATCAAATAAACTTACTATTTTTATTGAAAAGATTGCTTTATTATATGACCCTAGTAGACTTTTTAGTCATTTGTGATGTTTAGGGTGGAGGAATTAAGTTATCTTGATTTTGATTCTAAAACAATTTCCACCTGAATCTAAAAAAAATCATTAGTGAATAGTGTTTGAACTAGGACAAAGATTTATCTTAATACAAATTACATTGGAAACGCATAGATATTTTTTATGCAAATCAGCATAGCCTACAATTTTTGTTAGCCTGGTTGAATTTTAAAAATAACCCCACCGCAGAAAACCTGCAGACTAAGCGAATTTCCATTTACCAGTATTGGATTTTAAATTAAATATATTTAAATAACATTAGGTTTAAGTACCTAGGTTTCTGCTACTTGGAGGTAAATAAATTGTGTTTTTTGTAGTAAAATATGAATAGCTTAGTATCAAAAAAAATTTGACAAGTTTGATAAAAATTTTAATATTTATGAACAAGCAAACCACTACAGTTGACTTACCCTCCATAAGAAAAACATGGAAATTTTAAATTTACAATTTATTCAATTTTCTCTGTAACCAAAAACTGCACAAAAACGCTCCAATTTACTAAATTATTTGTTTTTTTAAGCTCCTTGTAATAGTGTAAAGTGAAAATAGGAAATTTTATGTTTTGAGGGTCAAAATTGAGAGAACCAAATTTTCACCCCATAACAACCCCGTTCCCATAGTACGGTCATGCTGGTTGTCTAACTCATTCAAGTTTATCCCGCCCTACAAGATAAATTTCATCAAAATCTGACAAAGATTACTCAAGTTATCGCATTTACATACGTATATATAAAAATCTATATATATTTATCTGTATATAGATTGATAGAATAGTGTTTTTTGCCTCTAGATAAATCAAAATGGAAAAGTATGATTAAGTTGTATGCAAGATATGTTGGCAATGCTTAATTCCAAGTCTTAAACTGCAACAACAGACAAGCACACCTAACCCTAATCCTAAATTAACTAAACAAGATACTCAGCAAAACTAATTTTAATAGAAAAACAAAACTAAACAACAAAACTTGCTAGATACAAATATAACTTGTAAGTAATGATGGGTGTCTACAGAAAACAAGATTCCAACCACCTATATGGCCAAAAAAAGAAATGCCATTTCGTTTCTTAGTTTATAAACTTCTAAACTACAGTACAACTTAGATAAACAAGAATATTTAAAAATACCCCAGCCGCAGCAAACCTGCCGACTTAGCAAATTTCCACTTGTCTGAATTGATTTTTAATAAAATCGGTTTAAATAACATTAGGTTTAACGGGTACCTAGGTTTGCTGCTACAAGGGAACTGGTAAAATATGGTAGTGAAATATTAATAGCTTAGTATAAAATAATTAAATTTGCCAAGTTTGATGAAAATATATCCAGACCATAGGCGGATCAAGGCCCCAAAATGTGGGGGGGGGGGCTAAGCCGGGGGGTATGGAATGTGTGGAGGGGGTCCGCTCCCGAAAATGTTTGAAAAAATATAATTTCCAAAGACGTATTTTAGGCTGTTTGGAAATCAACATAAAAGGAATCACGGATTCCGTGAACATACTTGAAGGACCTTGTAATCGGCTAATTTACGAATTCCATGTAAGAATTTCACCCTTACACATTATGGAAAATAGCTGACATAAGGTAAAAGAAAGGAACAGACTGATCCAAACCCTAAATGTGTGTGTACTGTGTACCTAGGATCCTAAATTAATTGCTGGTTTGTAGCATATAACTCAGGTCTTCTCACAGACGAAGTCAAGAACTTAACTTTGTCTACAGTATTAAGAGCTCCAACACCTTTTTGGCAATGGTAAGACGGTGAAAAGTTAAAATTTAGGGTGTCTTGTTTATTTCCATTAAAAAATTCAAGACTAATTCCAGTCTTTTTAAGACTAAGGCCAAATTTCTCAATTCTCGATACCAATGTCAATTTTTATAATTTAACCAAAATGTTTAACTCTACACCAAACCCTGTCTTTATGTCATAAAGTAAACTAGCCAATTTGGAATTTTTGGATGATGAAAATCTTCCACGACCAAGTAGACATCATCATTAACTGCCTCGGACGTCATCGTCGCCGTTCGCGATCGCGGCAAAATTATGATCATTTCCCGCGGCCGTGTAGACATCATCATTGACTCCCGCGGCCACGGAAACGTCATCGGCGTCGTCTGCGACGATCGCGGCAAAATTATGAAAATTCCCGACTTTCATATCAAAACAAAGACTAAATCCCAACTTTTCAAGACCGATTTGAAATTCAATACTAATTCCCGACTACTAGACACCATATAAAAATAATAAATTTTGTTTACAAATATCAAACTTTGAGGTTCCTATTAATTTTTAAAATTAATTTTTCTAGCTTAACCAATAAAAATGTGAATCCTGATATCTGGGATAGGTACCCTTTAGCCGCCACTTATCCAGACACAACATTTTATTCTCCATAAGAATAACATAGGAATTTTAAATTTACAATTTTTTTAATTTTCTCCGTTACCAATAACCGTACAAAAACACATTGACATAATAAATTATTTGTTTTTAAGCTCTTTAAAAAGGTCTAGAGAGAAATTGGGAAATTTTGTGTTTTGAGGGTCAAAGATGAGTTTCAATATGGTGACCATTTAATATCTTTAATGCAAAATTTCAGGAAACCCGCAAATATTAATAAAACTGTTTATAAAATCAAAATGATAGAGAATCCAAATCAAATGAGACCTTGTTTGTTTGTAATCCGATTTAACAAACAAGGTCTCATTTGATTTGGATTTAAATTCTCTATCTTTTTAATCTGAAAAACAATTTTCTTAAAATTTACGGTTTTCATTAAATTTGGCATTAATAAATGGCCACCATATTGAAACGGCTTGAGATATTTGAACGAAACTTTGTAAGTTCTTTTTACCTACTAAAATACACATTTATACCAATTTTCAAATTTCTATCTTGAAAAATATCCAAAATATAAAATAATTCTTAAAATTACAAACAGACCGACAAACAGAAATTAGGCATTTTGGACCCATACTTATACTGTATGGTATTTTATGTTTGTCTTAGTCCAAGGAACAAGTTCACAAAATGTCCAGACAATTTGGAAACACCCTGTATAAATCCTATGATATGTCGCAGGTTCTTTGCGGAACTGTAAAATATTCATTACCTTAACGATGAAAGAGAAAACTGTTGTATCATTTTTTATTGCAAAGTTCTGCCCCTTATAGTTTCGTTATTGTTGTTTCACACTGTCATAATATTTTAATATTTTGAGGTTAAAAATTTTAAATTCTCCCGTGAAATATAGCTTTTATCTATTATTTGTGTTCTGCAATTAGAGACTATCTTATTTAGGAAAGTTCAGGTCTGGAAAAAGATGAAACATCCATAGGAAGGTCAGTAGGTGGCTTGTTGTTGGCAGCTAAGTAGTTTGTTTGTCGTTGCCAAGCGTGACGTAGGAGGCTGGCGATTTGTGTCTCCCTACCAACCGGTTTATCATTTCTTCCTCAGTCACGTCACGACCCGACGACATCACGTCTTCATCTTCAGAGCAGTACCCGCCAATACGCCAGTAGCTGCACTAACTAAACAAACATGAGGCGACTCGGTGAGTTCAGAATTTAAATCCATTATTGGCATACATCTTAACCAATTTGTAACAATTAATTTGCCATCTATTATTATGTCCCAGTGGATCTGTTACTGTAGTTGATTCACTACTGATGATTCCATAGCTATTTTATAAGTATAGTCTATATAGACAACATCCATAATATGAAATGTGTTAAGCCTTTAATTTATGAATACTCAAATCCGATTTTTCTTGAAAAGTACAGCCTATAGGATTTAATCTGCTTTCTGATCTGTTTTTTTCTCATTATAGCCTACTTAAAAAAAGCGAAATGCCTTAATTCTAGATAACACCGGCGCAGTGTAAAATATTGATTTTCTTTTAGGCAAAACAATGACTCAACTTTTTAGGCAGCTGAGTTTTTACGATTTTACACAAAGTATGTTTACTACTTTTACCACACTTTTATTCCAATTTATTCCAAACACTATACACTGTACGCTATATTTTTTGGCGTTGATTTGAATTTCCTTTATTTTTGGCACATGCACATGCAGTTTTTGTTCCTTTAAATAGTTTAGTTTTGCAGGCTTATAACAAGTTCACACATGATACAGGCATAATATAGCATATTCTTGTTAAATTTACGAGTGCAAGAAAAGGTAATCTGTTTCATGACATCTATATGAATCATGATATATCACGTTCAGTTCTGCAGTGGTTATTTTTTTTATTGAATCTGGTGGTATCGTATTAATTTACTCTATCATACATTTTTTGTTTCTGTCATTAGCTTAGTTTTTTTAATTAAAATAAGCTTAGACTAAATTACTTATATTTTGGCGTGATTTCACCTTGTAGTTTTAAAATATATAGGAAAAGATCATTTTTGATCATATACTGTAAAAAATCTACATCCAGATACACATAGGTGATAGTGTTATTTACAATATCCCCCTGTTCAATATTACGTCTTGTTAACAGGATTACACTAAAAAAAATCCCAAGTATTTTGCTTTTTTAAACGTAGTTGTAACTTTCCTGCCAAGTCCATTAGCTACTACTTATTTTCCATTGTAAACGAAAGAAGAAGGAAAACCCCACTTTTCAAGGTTGAATTTGTTTGAGGTAGTTTGTAAGACTGTGTTACTGTGTAATTTGTGTTTACGTTTTACAACTGTGTAATTTGCTCCTTTTTACTGCAGCTGTCAAAGCTTTTGTGAGCTGTAAATTGTACACACAAAATCTATCAGATGATTAACCAAACAGATTGTGGGAGTTGGGATTAGGGAAAGTGTAGAAGGTTAAGGAATCTTGCCTTGGAATGAGGAAAATGTGATGAGCATAAATAATGACAAGAGTCCAACTGTTGAAGCACTAAACCTACTCCTTTTACATCTAAATTTTCTCTTTGTAGCTATGCTTTGTATTCTTAGTTAAATAAGAAACATTTTAATCAATAAACTTTTTCCATTTACCACTGATTTGATTTTGGAAATGTTTTAATTGATTGATATCACAAAATAATATGGTCTTTATTCTGTGTTGATATCTAGCACTTCGGCCTATTAAATTTGAAATTGAAATGAAAATTGAATGGAATTAAATCTGATCTAATTAGGTTTGGTGATCTATTATATTTTGTATTTTTAGTGTTTTTCCCAGTAGGGAAGTAGTTATTTACCGTAGGTGGCACGATAACACCTGGGCCCGGTGTTTAGTGGTTTGAATACCAGAAAACAGGGTGTCTTTTAACATTTAAAACATAGAAAGCCGGCATGTATTAAGCAAAAGTTGTATTTTTGTTTCAGCTTGAACAGTAAAAACAGTAAAAAGTTCCTTGTTTTCTGGTATTCAAACCACTAAAACAAACAACAGAATATCTAAACCTCAATAGTGTAGCATATGGTTAGAAAGCTTATAAAATGGCGCAGTTTTTAACATAATCGGCCACTTTCTTGTATACAGGGTGTGCACAAATACAATAGACCAATGTTTTTTTAAATTTGTATCAAACATCTTAATTTTTATCTTTGAATCTATTTACAATGGGGTTTTTACAACTGATCCTCCGTCATTTTCTATTATTCTTATTCAAAATTTAATGTAGAACACGAAAATGACATTGTCTACTCAAATCCATTTACCGGTAATTGAGAAATAGCTGTATTAAGTTTGAAAACATAGTTATTTTTGAAAAACATAAAATAATTCTTTGGGAAGCTAATTTTTGGACTTGGAACCTTTTATATGCATCATAACACTGCATTTACTTTGTACTTACGCCAAAAAAATTTTGTCACACTGATGACCAGCCACCCTGTATATAGTTAGGCCTATGTGTCCGTGAATGCGATAACTTGAGTAATTTTTGTCTTTCGCAAGTAAATAGACAAACTCTGAGAAATGGTTTTATGGGCCAAAATACTGTAAAGAGAAAATTTAGGAATGCCATTTTCCCTAAAATCACTGTTTAACCAAATATCTGCAATCTTGTATTTTTTATAAAATAATTTTTAGATTTGAAATGCTCCAACCAATCTTTATGAAACTATATTATTTGTATTATTATTATTATTTGTATGTAAAAGAGACAAATGTAAGAAAAAAATTAAATTGGCACAATTATTCAAAATTTAAAAAATGGCAGCCATTTTAATTTATGTATATTAGATGACAAAAAATGGATAGTTTAATGAAAAATGTCATGAGCGCTTTTATTTAGAATTTAAAATTCCTATCAAACTACAGCATTGAAACATACCTGACATGTTCCAAACTATTTTTGTTACCGGTAAATAAGGCAAAATGAGGTGCAACCTCACTAGCTTAGCCTTTAACTTAATTTTACAAAAATCGCTATATTTCAGCTATTTCTCATTCAATTTAATTGAACAGAATATAAATATCCCCGCCGCAGCAAACCTGCAGACTAAGCGAATTTCCATTTGACCGATTGGATTTACACTGAAATGTCTACTTAAAAATATAACATTTATTCTTGATTTGAATAGAATTAGTTTAACAAGTACTTAGGTGTTTGCTGCATCAGGGAGGGTAAAACTGTTTTTTTTTTTTTTTGTAAAATGTGAATAGTTAGTAAGAAATAAAAACATTTGCCAAATTTGATCAAAATATGTTTACTTATTCTCCATAAGAATAACATGGGAATTTTAAATTTACAATTTTATGGAATTTTCTCCGTAACCATTAGCCGCATAATAACGCTTCTATATACTATTTGTTTTATACTATTTGTTTTTTACTATTTTTTTTTACTATTTTTTACTATTTTTTTACTATTTTTTACTATTTGTTTTTTATATTATTTGTTTTTTTAAGCTCTACAAAATGGTTTGGAAAGAAATTGCTAAATTTTATGTTTTTTGGGTCAAAAATGGGAAAAACCTATTTTTACCCCATAAACCCCCCCCCCCCCCCCCCGTAAACCCCCGTTCCCATGGTCCGATCATGCTGGATCGCGAACTCGTTTGAATAAACATACGTTTACATGTTTGTACCAAATTTAATCAAAATCGGATCATTTTTGCTCGAATTATCTATATATATGAATTTGAACGGATGGTGTTTTTGGCCTCTAGGGACCTCAAAACGAAAAAAAAAATCGGTCCCGCGTCCAGGTCTTACCATGAGTACCACGGTAATAGCTTATTCCCTATATGGGAAATTCGCTAAAATGAAAATGGCAGCCATTTTAAAATGTTTTATTGGATCAAGTTAATTTTCTAAGAAAGCTGTCTCTTTTACCTTAAACACAAATTTTCATAAAGATTGGTTCGGACAATCTAAAGATAAAATATTTCTGTAGATGTTACGAAATGGGGGATATCTGGTTAATAACATGATTTTGGGAAAAATCAATCCTGATTTTCTTATAAATTAAATGTTATGTACTAAATTTATATTGTATAGGATAAATTTAAAATAAATAAAATAGATTTGAAAACTTAAAATAAAACATGTTAAAAAATTATTAATAAAAAATTTTCAAAAATCATTTTGGTCTTTGTCAGTTATATCCCTCGATACAATTTTCTCACTTTTTTACATAAAAAAAGATAGTAAGAATTAGAATTATTTCAGTTTTATTTTTAAAACTAAACGGTTGAGTATTAAATATTTCATTTTTTCATTTTCATGTGGGCAAAAGATACAGTAATCTTATTTATTGGGATTTCATATTACTTTAGACACCATTGCCTCCTTAGTCAATACCCAGGTCTGCAACATCCTGATGATTCATATTTGGATAATGATTAATTTTATCACCAGTAGGAAAGGGTTTGTAATATCTGCTTGAAATTATTTATATAGCATGGTAAAACTACAAACAACTCTACATTATTTTGTATATTACTGAATACCTTTAATTTCTTACATAAAATAATTCACAAAGGTCAGCTATATCTCACATTCCTCACACTGGCGACTTGCCTCCAAAACTCATGAACCCTAGTAGCACAAATAAATATTAAATACATATGAATAAATATATTTAAAATCTATTTTATATATCTCAAGTGTGTATTAATGTCAATTTTATATAATATTGAAAATATATTAAATATATAAAAAATATGTTTTTGAATCTATTAAATATTAAAAAAATATGTTCCAACAATATATTTTAGTAAATAATATTTAAATAAAAATGTATTTAATATCTCTTCCAAACATCCCATGGGGCCTAAACATAAAAACCTAAAATAATGAAGATTTAGTATGAAAAGCACAACTATCAGTTGAGTAAATTGATTAAATAGTTCATATTAACAAATTTTGAAAAAATTACTGGATAAAATTTTTTTAGCCCGGGTCGGTTTTGAACCTGGGTTCTTCGACTTATGAGCCTCTTACCTTACCCCTGAGCTACTTGTGACTGTTGTTAACATTAGTTTTCAAATGGTGAAAGAGTGGCCGTCAGTTGCAATGGTTGCAATACTTGAAAAATTTTTGATACTACAGTATAATATGATTCTGTTAATCTGTTTTTCCGTAATTCGTTTCTTAAAAGGTCGCCAGTCACTAGCACCCTTTTCTAGCCCATCATTCGAGATTTCTATGATCACATTCATTGTCACATATTGCAATTTAAAAAATAAAACCCATCAACACTATTTTTTCGTTTGGCCCAAATGTAGGCTGTCGAACATGTATACTAACTTAACTATATGCGTAATTTTTTCTTTACCTGCATGATAGAGTGACACCATTCAGAGTACAAATTATTATTAACTTAATTTTAACACTTTCACAACAGCAATTATCATACAAAAAATGCATGTATAAATTGATAGACACTATAAAAAACAAAAAGATGCAAATTATTTATTTGCCAATTATAATAGATTACATTTATTCTACAAATTATTATTTTATTAATAAAAATATCTGACGTGTTTCAAAATATATTTATAAATACTTTAAATATATAATATAGTTTCAAAAATATGTTATATATATATTTAAAATATTCTCAACACATAATTTTTTTAAATATTTAATAGGAAAAATATACATATAAAATATGTATATTATAGATTCTATACTTATTTGATCAATATATATTATGAATCTATTTTATATATTCAAAAATTATATTTAATTTATATTTTGCATTGCTTTTTGGTAATATTTTAAATATATATTTGAATATATCAAACTATTATTAAAGATATATTATTTATATATTTTATTCGAGGTTCTATCAAATACAACTTTAAATATATAAAATATTTATAAAATACATATTTGTGCTACTAGGGAAATGACTGAAAAAAATATTGAAACCAACATGTGACCAATGTGCTGCCAACCTAAAATGAACTTAATTCCTTACTCAATTATGACTCACACATCACAGAAAACATACTACTATTACCCAGAATGCCATGGTAACGTATGGAACGCATGGTAAAAAGCGTTAAGTACTTTGAGAGAGCTTTGCCTGTCAATTCGTAGGCAGCGCCACCACCAGCGTTGCTATGCACTCAGTAATTAATTTTTACTATTAATTTAATATAAAATAATTAATTTTGTAATTAAAGTTTGGTTTCCATCCTAAGGGTTAAGATAATTTGTATAACTTTGGGCCAGGCTTCTAAACCATGGGAAAGCAACACTGCTTTGATTACCAGCCTACATTGTGCACACTTATTACAGGATCTTGTTCCTCGTCAAATCCTAGATCCCTTATGAACATTGAGATTGTCCTTATAATTGTTTCCTGCCTTTCATTAGTCTCTCCATGATAGAACTAGGGATCTTGTGTGCATATCAAACATATCTCGGTAATTGAAAAATTAATTGAAAGCCTGATTTTTCATCCTCACAACATTTTCAGCTATAGAGTCTTTTGAGAGGAATTTCCTCTTATTCAGAGACCCAAGTGAAACTCAGTGGCATCCCTCTAATATATTCTGTTGTTCAAAGAAACTTTCAGCCCAGCCTTAAGAAACAGACAAGAGAAGTAATATCACAGACAAGATTGCTCCTCTGTACATTACAAGGTGTAAGCTGGTTATCCTGATGTCCTTGACCCCAGTGACAAATGTTAAGACGTCTGGTTTCAGTACTCTACTGGCCAGTGGCCAGGTGCAGGTGATGTCCCCTTGCTGAGGCTCATCCTGAACTGGGTTCAACACATGCACATGCACATGACAGTATTTAGTGCTGCTGACCCCTGAAAGGAACTGCTTGTATTAGTGACACCACCATGATGGATAAGATGTTACCATTGGCTACCCTTCTCAGATGATATTATTTACTAAGCTTAAGCTAGAGGATGCCGTTGCTCCATGGTTCACTATATAAGCAGGCTAAGCAACTCCTTGTATGTCCAGAAAACACTCTTTTACCCATCGAACCCTATTTTTATTATGAATTCAAATCCAAAATTATATGAATAAGTTTTTAAGTATAGGATTTTTAAAACGGCAATTTCCATGATTTGATCAAATTATTTAATTGAGATACAGAAAATAGGTATTCTGTCATATTTTTGTACTATTTATTAGTATATAGTATGAAGTGCTGATATTAATTCTCAATTTAGTAATCCATAAATACTTTCTGACATTTTTTATAATGTAGGGAATAATAGTTCATCACTAGGGCCTAAAGTGGCTCTTTTTGACCCAAGGTCAAGTTAACGGAAAATGAGCGAGGGTTAAATAGTTATTTGTGCAACTAGTGAGCAAAGGGAGCAATTGACTCACTCGAGAGAAATACTTACTCACGAGCCGTAGGCGAGTGAGGAATGGTTTCTGGAGTGAGGCAATTGCACTTTGCACTCGAGTTGCACATTATATTTTTCCTACAGATACCATAAAACAAATAAATTGGTAAAGGAACGTAACATATTTTTACACAGAAATGAACTTTTAATATGACATTTAATGATACAGTACAATGAACAGTACAACAGCTGACCAGCTGATTTACAGCCAGTGAGCCAGTGCTGCCAACATATGTCACGCGCATAAAAACTTGTCTGCATGTTACGCGCTCACTATTTCGTGCCTTCACGTTGCAAATCTGGAGTGAGACAAAGTAATTAGAGTGAGACAATGTTAACATTGTCTCACTGATGAGCGAATTGGCCACTTTGCTTTCTCAAATCAGTGAGAGAACATGTACCGTACATTGTTAGGTAACTGTAGGAAAAAGTAACTTTTTGCCAGTGTGGTGAACTATATTTTTTGTCATATTGCATCATTAATTAACAATCAAAGCTAGAAAACAAAATAATTTTTATGTAAGGTAACCTCTCTAAAAACGACTTCTTGTTTTCAATTCTGCTAATGCAACTAAGCAGCTGTTTAGTAAGTGATTCAATCATTTTGTCCATTACGATTGTGTTACAGTACATTATACCATCGATATGTCGAGCAATCGATAACAATAAGCTAAAACCTTACATAATAAATTTATCGATAAATAATTTTGATCGATAGGATTGCCACAATCAAAATTTCCGACTGTTTACAACAGCTGATTTTTACTCCCTAGAGACTAAAAATGACTTTTACTCCCTAGAGAGTAAAAACGCTCCTTTAGACCCGCAACGCATGCATTAAAAACGGCTGTTTTTGCTGCAGTATGACGAAAATATTTTTAATTCCTCCAATATATTTATCAATATTATAGTTCAATTTGTTTGCTTTATAAAATTATGCAATTACTTGCTCTGATCGCAAGCACAATGCCACATATATTTACTTTTATATAGCTTCCTTGGAGGAATTTCAAAATACAAAGGCTTGAATCATTGCTATTGTGATTCATCTACCTATTTGAAGAGTGGAGTTGCTGCTAATGGATCAAAGTGCCAAAATAAAAATTTTTCAGGAAGTAAAAAAAAAAACAGTTTACTTCTCTAAAAATGAATTTTAAGTTTCAAAGAAACTACTAATAATTTGTCACATGGTAGAAAATATAAGCCTATCCACTTTTTTTACGAATATCAACTAACAAAAAGGTTATACCATACCATTGGTTTATAAGCAAAATATTCTTGCAGATCAAATAGATCTAAGTACCTGAGGTAATCACTGAGTTTATTGGCATAACTCCATGCAGACAGCTTACAACCGTGGCACTTGGATCCACTAGCAGCAGCAGCAGCGTAGGGCTGTTCTGACATAATGCAGTAAATTCTGTTTACTTAGCAACTGCAATTTTGGAAAGGATAGGATGGCACATCTTTTAGCTAAAAATTGGCGCAAGAACATAGATATCAGCAATTTGCAGTGAAAAAATTAAAGATTTTAAAATGGAACACTTTAGCTCTCTTAGCAATTCTGTTCTTTATTTATGTTTGCATTTTCCAGTAAAACTCTTTACTATTCTAACCACTTTCAAGAAGTAAATTTCTAATCTATTTGTCTTGTAATCTGTTAACCACTGAAGCTGATATAAGTGAATACCAGTGTATTTAAAGAGATTACAGAGATTTAAACATCAAACAAATATATTGTGTGCTATTTTCAAGTATTAACTTGTTGGTTTATTCAGTGTTGATAGTACAAAGGATAAGGGTTTCTTATCAGAAAGGGCAAAGTTTGTGATAATCCAATATTTTTCAGACTAAAGTTAGTCCAACAGTTAGATTTTTGCTTACATGACTAAATCATAGTGTTAGGTTTTGTTTTTGTGAAAATAACCTGTGGGCCTAAATCAAATGTGTCGTCGCTGATAAAACTATTTAACAATTATCATGTCCATGACAAATGCTTTTGATTTATGTAGCATCACTCTAGGAACACTGATCAAAGCAGTAATAAATAATCCTATCAACTCCCAGACCTCCAAACAAATTGTTTCTTTCTTCCTTGTATGAGGAGTCCTTTGTCAAAACAATCATATGTTCTGCTTGCCACAGTTACTTTACAGCTTCAAATTGCCATGGGGATACCACTGTTGATATATCCCATGACTTTTAAAAGTTTACCTCCTGTAAAGTAGCTATAGTGCTTTAGCAAAATTATTGTGTTTTTCTTCATGTTACAGTTTTGGTTGTCTCAGTTGCTCTGCTACTTCAAACTACCATGGCAGACCCAAACAATTTGGCCATCTCACAGGCCTCCAACGCTTTTGCTTCACAGCTCTATCAGGTAAATTAATATCAATCTTAAGTATTAAAGTTCTATTTTGGAATGCAGAAATTACCTCGAAGATTAAATTAATCATAGATTTTATTCTACTCCACAAAAGATTATTACTCAGTACTCAGTTGGACTCTTCTGGTAATCATACTAAAATGTTATAAATGTGAAAGTTTGTGTGTTTGTTTGTTTGTTTGTTTGAAGTTCAATCTCGCATTAACTACTGGTCGGATTGTGTTGAAATTTGGTATGATGATAGCTCACATTCCCGATTAACATATAGACATATTCTTACCTCAAAAATCCTTTCGGGCTCCGCCCTAGCGGCTCTAGAGTTTCCCATTTTAACCTTATGAGTATTCATATTTAAAAGCTGAATGAAATAATTTTGCCAGCTGTTTCAACTACACAATTTGTTTCTATGATATTCAATAGCATTAAAAGGTTATACGGTTTACCAACAGGGTGCAGCACCACTAGTTCTTTATACATTTATGACAACAGCTAATTTGAACCAAGCAGCAACAAAAACCTGAGTGTGAGAACTTTACTTCTTTCTATTGTTTATGTGAAGAGGTAGAACATTATGGCTATGGTAGATGTTCTATACTATAGTATACCGTAGATTATAGTAAAAAAAATTGTCTCAAAACGTGTCCTCTCTTATTGCAAATGCAAAGCACGAGTATTTAACCACAATAAGCATTGTATACCAACCCCGTACGAAGGACGGGTACTCAGCTAGTGATTAATATGACAAAAAGTAAGAATTGTTTGATCTTGCAATTGCAAACTCTGGCACACCCTTATTGCCAGTTCTCCTAATTAGTCACACTGCTTTCCCACTAACTTCAGTAGCTTTTTACCAAAGTCATAAATTCCAAAATTTTGAGAAGCAGTAGGCTACATAAAAAAGTCATTGATACTATACAAGGGAGAATTTTATTAAGAAACAACAGCATAGGCTTAGAGGTGAAAATAAATCTAGAGGTAAGAAAGAAATCTATCTACACTTTTGTTTATAAACCAAATTCAATTATTACTAAAGATTTAGAACTAATCAACTGGTCAAATTATTTAGGAAAAAATATCTGAGAAACATTTGGCTTTGAATATATTTTTTAAGGGAGCGGTTCAATCTCTGGCCTTGTTGCTATCATAACATTGACCTTTTATTTGATAACATTGGTAATTAATGGCACATTGACAAAAATAATCTAGATCCAGAATTGATTTAACTGGGAATTGAACCAGCGCCTTTCAGATTTGAACGTGAGCATTAGTATAATCTCTCGGCTACCCAGACCACTCTAATTTACCATCTGTGATTACAACAACACTTGTAACAAATCCCAATTAATAATTTACTAACCTAAAATAGAAAATGCATCTTAACTATAGGAGATCTATAACTATAGGATCTTAACTTGGGTATATTTATATGCATGCCACATTAAACCAAAACAAATAGGGTGTGAACTCAGGTTTTATGTCCGCGGTTTGTATGTGACACACTATGGGCCCGAGAGATATTTTCCCACTCTCCACCCTAGATACAAGTAGAATTCTCATCTCATTGTAAAAATCTTCAGCTGTTTTTCATGACTATAGTTTTTATATTGGTGACAGAGGTGATCATCCTCCCCAAAGTCAGGTCCACATATGCCCCCATATCACATTTCTTCTCCTTACTTTCCTTCCCCCCCCCCAAAAAAAAAACCAAATAAAAACACTGACCTTCCCGCACCGAAACCAAAATTTAAAGAATTGTTTTAAGTAAAACACAAATCTCATTACATTACATATCTCACATATACCATTACATATCTCATAGAGAATTCGGGATGGTCTCTTCACCCAACCCAGGAAAAAATTAAATAGCCACAAACGGACGAACGCAAGGCCAGGTTGCCTCCACGGGAATGAATAGAATAGAACTATTCATCTCCCAGTGCCCTAGCCAAGAATGTGACATTAACTATTGAGAGGAACAATTTTTAATTATGAATTGCCAAAATTATGCTACTAGTTTTAATATGGTATATAAATATATGGATTTGATAACAGATTTTAGGGCTACTCATAAAAAAATAATAAGTTGTTAAAGGCAAAATGGCAAATAAAACTCCCCTTAAATCCCTCAAAAAATTCCCCTCTCTGGGTACCCCTGATTGATGAAACTAGGCGCAAGTGTCAAAAAAAAATTATTTTTATTATTTTAGAGTTATTGTTTATTTATAACAAATCGGTAAAACCCATCAAAATCAACGGTAACTTTCAAGGTTTACGACAATTATTCATCCCACTCAGTTAAACAGAGTGATATCATGGATAAAACATAGATTTCTCATACTTATGGATCAGCCGAAGTATTTTGTTGTTAGTTCTGTCCGGTGGACTGTAGAGGTCGTGTTTTGTTTACAATTTGTTTCTAGTTATTTCAGTCATTGAAAACCTCGTTAAACCAAATAAAACGACCTAATCGTAAACAATAACTCTTCCCCTAGTTATATAACCAAACAGTAAAGTACAAATCACAAAATTACCCCTAAAATAATAGAATAGTTATTTGTGTAACTAGTGGTGAAAGTGGCACTTTGCTGCACACGAGAGCAATGTTTACGTACGAGCCGCAGGCGAGTGCGGAATGATCTCGAGTGCAGCCAAGGCCTTTTTCACTTGTGTTACACATTATATTTTTCCTACAGTCAGTTTAAAGCATATAAATAATTAGTCTTTCAAACACTATATACAACACGTTTTTAGGTTCAGCTGGCAACACAAATGGTGCCCTAGAGAAAGTAGTACCCGCGGTCCGTATCACTCCGCTATTTTATTTCCTCGGCAAGAAATGTGCTCCGCCTTTTGAGAATATATAGTTCCGTATGTTTTTGTAATTTGAAGTGGTTTCCCGTGCCTAAAAAAATGCTTTAAAAGTATTTTCTTGTTTATTAAGATCGTAGGAATGTTTTAAAAACGTTTAAAAGAAAAGTCCAGAAAGTTCAGAAATACCGAAACTATAAACAAGAAATGACAGGTTAAATCGTAGTTATAATAGTCAATCAGCTGCTCATAGTATTATTATCTTTAAGTGTTGCCAACCTATTTCCAAGCGTACACGGATTACGTGCATAATAGAACCACGCTGTTTTGTGTTGTTTCGTTGGAATCCTGATGTGCGGCAAAGTATAAACCGTACGACAAAGTATAAACCGTACGGCATAGTATAAATATGCAGCAATTAGCAGCTTTCTGTACTATAAACAGTACAAGGAAGCCAACTTTGTCGGGTGACTGTAGGAAAACAAAATGTCTTTGTCACTATAGCGTTCAGTGTCAACAACTTGAACTAGACACATAAAACAACCTTCCAAATTTACAATGGGATGTCAAGTCTACTTGTGTTAGTATTCAAACACAATGATGTGTGGTGGGTGGTGCCATCAAAATATTAAAATATAACTTTATTAAATGGGTAAAAAATGAGGATAAAATATTATGACTATTGCATACTTTACAAAATATGGTTGATTACCTCACTGCATACAATATTTCCGGTACTTTGGTACGAGTTAATATTACCATTGACTATACACAGAACTTAAATAAATTGTTCCATCTCCTTTTGAAAACCCCTTTGGTTAGTACCGGTACCGGTATTTGAATCGTGACGGAGAATCGCCATCTTTTTAGTTAACACAACCACAATTTGTAAATTTAAAACTCCCATGCTATTCATATGAATAAGTACAGTTCATATGAACTGTTAGTTTGCTTGTTTATAGATTTATTTTGATCAAGCTTGGAAAATTAATTTATTTTATACTAATATTGATATTTTACAAAAAAAACACACTATATTACCCTCCATGAGCAGCAAACCTAGGTAATTGTTAAATTTAATGTTATTTATATACAATTTAATGAAACATCAAATCAGTCAAATGGAATCTTGTTGAGTCTGCAAGTTGGCTGTGGCGGAGTTATTTTACTCATTAAATAAAGTTAAATTTCAAGATTTTATAGTATCACACTATTTAAGTAAATGAGATAAATTTTTGTAAACCTTGAAAGTAACCGTCAATTTCCATGGGTTTCCCCTGTTTTTGATTAATAAAATAAACTAAATATAATTATTCACAAAAATAACTCAAAAACCGTCAGGTTTAGAGAAAAATGATAAATACCAAAAATGTGTATTTTTAGACGGATTACATTTTGTATATATTTAGCTTTTTCCTGTATAGGCCTATCTCTAATAATAAAGTCACTATAGCAAAAAACACATTTTAGGGGACTTTTAGTATGTTCAAAGGAAGGTACACCCAACATCTGTACGGAATTCCTTGCTTGTGCTAGTTTTTTAAGGTTTATGGAATTTTTCACTTATTTTTACTGTAGGCTACTACTTCTGTCTTGCCACAGCTTATATTAGAGGAGGCTATACCATTTGTGATAAAACTATCAAATCAAACACAATACTGTAGAGATTGACGGGATTGTACTTTTAGTTCGGGATGGGAACAGGACAGGATTTTCATGCAGTGCAACAAGGTAAACTGCTTAAGCTTTTCAATGAGTATCACAAGATTGAACAAAATGAACTAACAAAAGACATAGCTAGGATTAAGTACGTAAAGTCAATATCAAGTTAATACTTACAGTTGTGAGTCATCACTAGGGAAAACTGAGAGTGTAGAGATTACCATTGGATCACGATTTACAATATTTTTCTAGCTTATGCCCCCAGCAAAAAGGCCCTTCTTCCCCCCCCTCTTCTTTTCTCTTGCACCCCGACTGGCCCATTTACTACAGTGGCTCTGATCAAATGAGTTTTAAAGATTTGTAGGGATAAACTGCATGCTTGATAAAATCTTATTACTGTTTGTAGATTGCTTAAAAAACGTCTGTGATGTGACAGATGTAGGAATGGTAGTGAAAACATTTTATTTTGCAGGAACTGGCCAAAACTCCAGGCAACGTACTTGTGTGTCCATTAAGTGCCCACATAGCATTGACTCTTGTCCATCAAGGTGCGGGTGGCAATACTGGTAATGAGTTGGGTAAAGCTCTACACCTGGCTGGGTCCAATGACAACATCAAGAACAACTACAAGACACTGCTCACAGGTCTTCAGGTATCACAGAAAATTAATTCCTTCATTGATATATGTACACTTATTTGATCCACCTTTCATTATTGTTCTTCTATTCAAAGTACCTTCTGAAAGTTAGTAAAAATTTCTCAAGTAATTTCTTTTATAAACAGGCTTGGCCTTGAGGCTCACCCTGTGTGTCTCTTTGAAAACCAGTCTCGTAACTTTATAGCCCCAACTCATATATTGGCTTCATTTAAGTAATAATCCAGTGAACTTTATTAAGAATGTTGAAAAAAAGTAAAATAGTTGTAAAAAAAGAAGAAATACGAGCAAATGAGAACATTTATTTATTTCAATTCAAAACAACAAAAATTATTATTAAAGTATAACACATTTCCCTCCATTGTATGTTGTGATTCCAGGACGATGTCCTTAAGATAGCAACAAAGCTGTACCCAGCAACCAGCTTCACTCCCAAGCCTGACTATGTAATAGTTGCTAAACAATACTTTCTGTCCGATGTGGAATCCCTTGACTACAGCAAGGCTGCTGAAGCTGCTAAAACTATCAATACATATGTGGAGAACAAAACCAACAACAAGATCCATGATATTATAAAACCAGGTAACTCAATAGCGGTACTTATTCCAATTTGAGGAGATTTTTCTTATTAGTTTTAACTAAAAATAAAAAAAAACATATCAATTGAGACTCATAACCACTCCTTTGGATGGCAAACCTTTGGTTAAAAATCCCTTGGCATTGTTGGTATTCATCAGATAAATTTTTTAAATAAATTTTTTTCAGCCTCTCTGTCAGATCTTACCCGACTTGTGATCATAAATGCTGTGCACTTCAAAGCTACCTGGGCTAAGACATTTCCTCCTGCATTTTCTTCAAACTTCAAGGTTACTCCAACTGAAGTGATAAAAACCGACTTTTTGTCTTTGACTGATCACTTCCCTTACAAGGAGGACCGTGCTCTAGGAGCCAAAGTACTCAAGATGGATTACGAGGTAAGTTTCATCTATCTTTTGTGAGGACAAGTCTTTCAAGTAAGCATTGAAATAATTATTACCTACCTGATATGAAATGAAAAGATTTTAATAAATAGCATATATTTGCTAAGGACTATTTTCTTCGGCAAAATCCAGTGGACATCTTTTATAGCTATAAAATCTTGCCTTACACATGAGCGACATATCTAGCTGACTAGGCTGTGACTAGGTAAGCAGGACTAGGTAATGGACCACAAGATCAAATGGAGCCGTTCACACGAGCGTACGGCCTCAGCGATCGAGCTTGGTGTAGCAAACCATCGCCAGGCACCGCTGAATGATTCAGAGTAGAAAATATTCAAATATCCGGGCTCGAAAGACCAATGAATGTTTTCAGAGTAGGAGAATATAATTATCTGGATTTGAAGTACCAATGGATGATTGTAGAGAAGGGAAAATATTAGTTAAAACAAAGTAAAGTTAAGGTAAGAGAAAAGGGAATATAAAGAGAAAGGTTAATGATAAATGGTTCGAAGAACCAGAGGGGTATAATATGTTGAGAAAAAGAAATATTGAGATTAAAGAATATATGGGGGAGAGAGAAAATTAATGAGCACACTTTAAAGGTACTAAGAGAATAAGACACTGTTTTATTTAAATTTTGATATAACATATGTTTTACCAATTTAATCTATCTATATATTAATTACGTAAGCTGATTCTTTGCGTCAAAATTGTGGGCGACTGGGAAGTCGTAGAACGACGGGAGAGGGCTCAAATTAAAGGTCTCGATCCTGTGACGGCGGGAAAAATAGTGAAATTCCCTAAATTTTAACACAAAATTGGATATAACGTAAAATGTTCTCCATAAGAAATGCATTAGAAGCCATTTACTGCTGATTTTGGTTTACTTTAATATAACTGATCGTGATTAATCATCAAACCAGTAAGTAATATTACATTTGGATTACTCATTTGCCAGTCAATTCTGCAATACTGTATACTATATAAAACCAGGGATAACTTTAGGCCTACCTATAATAATAAATACATTTTAGATACGTCTTAGAATGTTGAAATCAATTATTTTACTGTGCAATTGGCAAACTTGTGTATTTTTAAGTAAATTAGTGAAGCGTATGATAAGTAGAAGAATCATAGGAGATGGCTCAAATCAAAGGAATTAAACTTAGAATGGCTGAAAAAAGTTATAAAGTTTTTTCTTCTAACTTAACAGTTATTGTTGTGTTGAAGGAATGTTCAACATGAAATAACTACATTGACTAAATAATAATCGATTCAAGATTGTCCAAAACTTCTGCTTTGTTTTGATTTCAAAACATTTGTTAAAGATTTATTCTACACTTTTTTGTATACTTAGGCCCTACTAACATTTTTAATTTGAGATCTATTGTAGTGTATACAAAAGGAGCATGCACTTAGAAATAATAACTGGGTCGGGGTGCTAATTTAGCGATTTTAACTAAGAACTAAGCTTATCTCAACACACCTTTATTTGCCTTTTCATATATGACGAAGACAATTTCCAATTTTAATCAGGAAAGCATTTTTATTATCAAAAGACCAAAGCTACAGTAAACTAATATTTATTCACAAACATGTTTGCTGCCTTTAGCAGAGTTAAACCTTTGGTTTAAATTATTTATTAAAAATAACATCGACAAAAGCAAACAAAGACAAACAACAAACTATTTTTTACACAAAAGATATGTTGTACTGGGATATATATCTGATATATATATTAGATTTATTTAAGTTTGTTTATACTGTATTACAATAGTTTGTTTTACATTTGAGCTTTTCAGGGACTTATGTCCCTTCAAGCCACTAGTAATTAAATATTATTGTTACTGGAAAAAGAGTTAGTTAAGAGTAAAACCAAGGGCGGTCCCAGGGGGGGGGGGTCAGGGGAGTCGTGACCCCCCCCAAAATATTTTATATATACATAAACTACCAGGGGAACTTTAATAATTTTTATTGCAAATTTTTCTACCAAATTGAATTAATTGTAGTCTTTACACTTGTGGCGAACGAATGGACTAATTACAAACTCTAACCCAAACCTCGGGATCGTTCGAGTCTGACTATTTTTTGTACGTTATGAAAAGTAGGGAAGATCGGCAGACGACGGACGCTTTCAGTCATTTACGGCAACGGCAGTGTCCGATGCTGGCGTTCGACGGTCAGCCGCATTCTTCTTATTTAATTTTTCGGCATTTAATGTTACCATTCATTTTAACCTAGATGGTTGAAAACTTGAATTGGGTAAAGAAAATAAGTTGTATCAATAGTCCAAGCTTGAAGGGTAGTTAAATATTAATTTATCTGAGTTCAGCAATATGAATTTGTTATTACAGCAATGATTACCGTAGAAAATTTTAAAACTTTCAATATTAAATATCATTCATATTTAGAGCACCTGATATCATATTTAAGAATAACACTACCCAATTGGTATGTTGCTAGCCACAAAACAACAACAAAATGGTAGTGTCTCAGACTTAGATGCGGAAGGGGCGGATTTAATTCCCGGCACAACCACTCACAACCACAAAAACATTGCACAAAAACTTTATTCTCACATTGACGCCTTGTAAAATGCCACTGGCGTAAAAAACAATTTGAACACTGAGACCAACTCTTAAGGTGGTAGCAGTGACGGGACGCCGACGGCATCGTTAGTTGGGTAGTGTACTTTGTGTAGGTTAACTGTTGCTTGCTGGGCAGGTATAATGCAGTCATTGGGTGCTAGTTCTTAAACACTTCTTCGATAAAATAAGTTCTCTGGTTCAAAATCATGGTCTGATTTTGGAAAATTAGCAATATTCTGAATTGCATACAACTTTTTGGTCAATTCTATTACAAGTCCAACAATACGAATAATCAAAATATAAGTTGAAAACGACCAAGAGGTTTCAAAAAATAATTTGAAATTACCTTATATATCCTCTTAAAAATAATGTTTTTTGGACCCAAACTTTTATAATAGTTTAATTGATGAATTGTTAGCTGAATTTTATTATTCTACTTAAAATTGATTTACCAAAAAACTTTGATTATTGTTTAAAATATTGTTTTTGTCCAATACATCAATGCAACAAAAACATTGGTCACAATCGATGCAAAAACCATCAAATATTGACAGCAAAACATCGATGTATCGAAAACATCATTTAATGATGCACATTCATCATTCATTTATGTCACGCCTGGGATCTAGTCAGTGGACTCGTGTCATTGTTGGGGCTCGTGTGAACTGGGGTGTCGCCGGGTCGCGAGGAATGCTAGTCAATGTCAGTCAGCTAGATGTGTTGCTTGTGTGAACCCTGCCTTAGGAGAAAAAAAAACTACTTCAGCACCGCAACACAAATACAGAATTGGACACAGCGGTTTTTGCTGTAGTACAGTATATGATGAAAATATTCACCCAGTCATAAGAAAAATTGTTTAGCAAAAATTAATTTTAAAAATGTATAAAAACTATTATAAAACCATCAAGTTACTGTCAATATATATTTTTCATCACTCCTTAACGAAAGTAACTATTTTCGATAACAGCTGATATCAATGAAAGTAGTCGTTTCCCAAGCTCTAATTTAGGGCGAGGGAAAATCGATCAGCTGATTTTCCCTCGCTCTAAATTTACTTTCCCTCGCTCTCAATTAGTTCTCCATTTATTCACTACGCGCGCCAGTGTTTTGTTACGGTTTAATTTAATGATTTTAATCAGCTGTATGTATTTTTAAAAGTTGTGTTAATCTTTTATTTTGATGTTTAAACAAAATTTATTGAGAAATATACGTAGGTTTCTTTTTAGAAGATTTTATTTTATTTTGATGTTCAATCAAATTAATTGAGAAATTAAATTGTTTTAATATACTGAGGTCTGCTATTCTGTGTTTGTGTATTTTTGCGTCGTGATGAAAAGTATCGTTCATAACTCGTACCGAAAGTTATTATCCGGCACTTGCTCCATTATTCCCGTCCTCGGCTTCGCCTCGTACGTGAAAATGGCTCTCACATACTCGGCTTCGCCTCGCACGTGAAATTGGGGTTCCCTGTGTTCGGCTTCGCCTCACATAAAAACTTGGGCGCGCGACGGAAAATGCCACTTTCGGTCCTAGTAATGAAATATACTATTTCGGCTTTATTAAAAAAGGTTTTTAGTTTTTACAAACAAGTATTGTCGATTTTGTTTATTTTCAATTTTGTTTTGTGTTTACAAATTCATCAAAATTGCAGAAGCCTTTTAAAACGATATAATATAACAAAATTAATTAATTAATTAATAGTATAACTAAAAAAATCAATATTCTTTAAAGCAGAGTTTCTCAAATTGTGGTCTGCAGACCCCTAGGGGTCCGCAAGCAAATTTTGGGGGTCCACAAAAAACATTTTATCAAATTAATTTTCAATCGTGTTGGTTATTTATTTGTTTAACCTATTCCTTAGCCCATTATAAATAAGTAATTTTTTGAAATGATCAATTTAAAATAAAAATTAAGGGGTCATCGGGGGGGGGGGGGTGTTATAGGGGGTGGGGGTAAGTGAATTGTAGGGGGTCCGCATTACATACATAATTGAGTGAAAATTTAAAAACGTACGTTTTCATGTCCCTGGCATTTTACTTCGTAGCTACTGGATTTGTAGTTTATTATTATGTGTTTTAATATTTTTTGGGATGGGGGCAACATGTTACACACATTTATTTGGTTTTAAATAGGTTCTAGGTATTTTTTTCGTATTTTTAAAGTCTCGAAATTCACGACCATGACGTGTCCCTAGGGTACATTTTCCAACTTTCACGCTGTTTTTAGACTAATTATTCATGCAGCAATATATAAAGCCATATTTTTATGTCATCAATGGTTATTAAACTTACAAAAAAGGAGCATATTATAATTTTATTGTCATTGCAAACTGACTACCATGACATAATAAGTCTGTCCCTCGATTTGGCGTCACGACCATTTGGGAAAATTTTTCAACTTTGGAGCACGACAGTGGCAAGCCTCGCGTTGATGGAGTCAGTTGGTTTTAGAGACTAGTTCGGGGTGTACGTCAGGATTGTAGTGCCGGTCGTTTCGAGTTGAAAGGAGGAATTACAAGATTAATACAGGAAAGGTTGTGTTTTTTGTAATTTTGGTGTGTCCATGACCGTACATAGTCATTCGATGAAGTAGACATGGTGTTAATTTTTGTTTATAAGATATTTCAATTGCTAGATTAACCTAGAAGTCCACTTTGTATCCTCGAACATGAGGTGCAGAGCTACCGCCAGAACAGAGCCAAATAACACGTAATTTCACGACCAAAGTTTCACGACCATCGCGGGTTTTTTCACGACCTATCCAGCCTTATGGATTATAGTGTGTTTGGTCGTGACAATAACTTTAATATAATTGTAATTTGAACAGTTTAGTTCAATTGAAACACATATTTTTATTATAACTAATAGTATAATTAAAGGATTGTTTAGAAAGATTTAGGTTGTTTTATAAAATTCACGACCGTACCGCTTGTCCCTGACCATCACGTTTATGATTTCTGTCATAAAAATTTCAAAAATTAAAATATCGTCATATTTCAATGTTTTATACACAAAAGAAGCACGCCTCTATGCAAACATAACGATTTTTCGGGTCTCAGGTAAGTTTTTTCGGAGTTATACAAACTTAAAAAGATATTATTGGCATTTTTTCAATTTTTTTTAGTTTTTTATTTTTTTCTAGAAAGATCAAATATACTAAAAGCTCAGTGACCTTTTTAATGTATAATGGTCATAAAAGTAAATTAGTTTATAGCAAAACATAGTTATAAAAATAATATTAACTATTTTTAATATTCATTTAAACGTCTGTTATGGTCGTGACAGGATTTTGTGTTTTTCCACTAAAGATGCTCTTTTAAAAAAAAACTACCAAAGATATTGCGTTACCATGGACATTTTATGAAACTTCAAATGTTAATGAAATCAAAAAAATAATAAAAGTTTTGAAAAAAGGGGAAAAAAATTTGCAAAGTGTGTTTCCTGAAAACGTACGTTTTTAAATTTTCACTCAATTAACTATGGGAATCCTTGAGTAGGTGGAAGTTTGAGAACCCCTGTGCTAAAGCAACCAAGATTTTACAGTTTTGTTTTGTACTGACAGTGACGATCCCTTTGATATATTTTGTTCCAGGGTGGCAAGTACAGCATGGTGTTTGTGTTACCTATTAAAGAGGATGGCCTTCAAGAAGTTGAACACAAACTAGCCAACACCTCCATGGACAGTTTATTGACAGATTTGAGGGAACAGCGTGTTGAAACTACAATACCCAAGTTTAAAATTGAACAGGAAATGCAACTAAAGGATACATTGATGAAGGTAAAAACTGATCATCTTTAACATTACAGTTTGAATATGATTTAGTGCAGAGCTAGTAAGGAAAAGAACCCTGGGGAATGCTAGTTTAGCTAGCTCATTATGGTTTACTGTTTTAATTTAAGATAAAAGGACAAACACTGGTATGTTCAGGCTTAAAAAATAACAGGTATTTTTTTAGTACAATTATGACATGCAGTTGCTATCGATTTGAATAAGCACATCTGACCAAGTAAAAAGTGAACTGTGCAACTGTCTATTTGTTATGCTCAATTAAATTGCTCCATTGGGATGATTTTATACAATTTTGTAGGTTCAAATAGAAACTGACACTCTAGTTACTACTCATAATTGATGTAGATATTATTAGTACCTAGATATAATAATACAACCACTAGTTTTAGCTGGACTGTCAACTCGCACAGTTACCAAAATTTTAAATTGAACACGTTTGTACAAGGCAAGACGTCAGAAATATAGTTTTGTTTTTTCAACATTGGTTACGTTTGACATTTTAATTTCAAGCAATGCGTAAGCAAAGTCAAGCCTGAATGATTAGCTCAAGGGGGGGCCCTCCCCTACAATTTTTGAGAAATATTAACCTCCAAAGACGTATTTTAGGCTATTTGAAAATTAACATAAAAGGAATTACACGGATCCCACCATATTTAATTTCCTATCCACAGTGACTTTAAGGACCGGTTAATTTACAAATCGGCTAATTTAATGGGTTATTTTATCGGCTAATTTAAAAATTCCATGTAAGAATTTCACCCTTACACATTATGGAAAAATAGTTGACATGACATAATGTAAAAAAAAAGGAACAGATTGATCCAAACCCTAAATGTGTACCATACCTAGGATCCTAAATGAACTGCTGGTTTGTAGCATATAACTCAGGTCTACTCATACACTAAGTTATTATTTTTGCAGTCCTTAGGTACATAATAGTACATTTTGTACCAAGGGCCGAAAATAAGGATTTGCTGGCTTGAAATCGTGTTTTAAGTTTGAGATGCTAATTTACGATTAAGGGCTGCAAAACCTTTTCAGCTGTGGTAAGAACACGTCTTTTTTATACCACACTAGGATGAAATATATATAGGCCTATAAGAAAGTTGAAAATACCCCCGCTGCAGCAAACCTGCAGACTAAGCGAATTTCCATTTACCCGGGTTGATTTCTACTAAAATATTCCCTAAAAATTGTCAGATTTATTTCCTATTTAAAATAACATTAATTTTAGTAAGTACTTAAGTTTGCTGCTACGGGAAAGATATTGAGGGGTGTTTTTATCGAAATGTTGATAGCTTAGAATGAAATATAAATGAAATTGCCAAATTTGATTAAAATATATCCATAAATAAGCAAACTACAACAGTTTATTTATTCTCCCTAAGAATAACATGGGAATTTTGAATTAATTTTTTTTTTAATTATCTCTGTAACCACAGAAACTAATATAACCCAGAATGCTGACCTCGTGGAGCTTTGCCTGTCAATTCGTAGGCAGCGCCACCAACATTGCTATGTTGGTGGCTGGTGCATTGTATGTTGGTGGCGCTGCCTAAAATTGACTGGCAAAGCTCCACGAGGTCAGCATTCTGGGTTATATTAGTATGTTTTCTGTGCCGTTAATGTTGGACAACGCTTCAATATACAAAATTATTTATTTTTTAAGCTCTAGAAAATGGTTTGAAGAGAAATTATGAAATTTTGTGATTTTAGGGTCAAAAATGGGAAAAATAAATTTTTACCCCATAAAACCACCCATAAACCCCCCTTCCCATGGTCCGATACTGCTGGTTCGCGAAGTCGTTCCAATAAACGTAGGTTTACACGTTTGTACCAAATTTCATCAAAATCGGATCATTTTTGCTTGAGTTATCACATTTAACGGACACATATATAAATAAATATATGTATTTGAACGGATGGTGTTTTTGACCTCTGGGGACCTCAAAACGAAAAAGTAAATCGGTCCCGGGTCTAGGTCTTACCATGAGACCTACGGTAATAGCTTATTCCCTATATGGGAAATTCGCTAATTTAATAAAATTTTGTTTATGAAAAATCAAACTTTGAGGTTATAAACTAACCTCTGATGTAGCTTTTGCTAAATGATTATCTATATAATTAATACGCTACACGAAACTTTGTCGGTTGAACTCCTCCGCCATTTCTAAACCGATTTTATCCATTGACGTCTCATTGGAAAGACCGTGTCACGTAGATTTGCAAACTGGCCTTACATTTTGAAAAAGTCCCTTGGGCTCTGCCCCAGTGGCTTTGAAAGTTCCCATGTTATCCTTATGAAGAACAAAATTGTTATATTTTGATCAGCTGTATAATTTAATTGCTTTTATTTATTTTTCAATTCAAAGAAACGCATTGAGTACATTTATTTACTATTTGAGTTTGTGTAAACATAACCCCCAAGACAGGACGTGTAGTATTGTTGTATCTTAAATTTGTGTATTTATCTTTTTTTTTGTGTCGCTGTGACGGATCGTGTAACTTAAATTTGTGCATTTATCGTTGTTTTGTGTAGCTATAATTTGCTTATTTGTTGTTTTTTTTTCTTTTACATGCCTCCGACGCGACGACAACGAAACATAGACAGGAGGCGTAATCGTGATAACGACCGCAGCTACAGAACAGTGGCGCGTATTAGGCTTAACTCATCACATCACAGTCAGCACCTGGCCCTGGACAATCTCAACTATTAGGTTACAAATGCGCCCTAACACTACCCCAAAACGACTTTTCGTTCTCAATTGGCCCTCTATCAATGACCTGTGTTCCGTGTACAGGGAGGCATTTTGAGAAGGAGAAAACCGGCCGGAATGCTTTAGGTTTCAATAATGAAGATAAACATGGTCTGAGTTACACACCGGTAATCTTTGAGTTGACTCTTTTAAACTCATTGTAATTAATATGACTGTTATTCATTTTAAAATAACTCCTATAATACTTTGCGATTGCTCGAATTCGAGTAACATGTACACTAGTATCTCTTAATTTTTAAAATCTATTAAAATCCTGATCCAAACAGTTGTTATCAGTTCAAATTTGTAATAAAGCTACCGTTTCAAAATTATTCCAAAAAGATTATACATTGTAATGATCCTTCTGTTTCCATGAAAATAAGTATATTTTCATAAATATTTTAATCAAACTATTATCTATACTATTATATAAAAATCTAGTGGTGTCTGTCTGTATGTGTGTTACTAATAGGCACATAAACTACTGAACTGACCGGGCTTAAATTTTACAAAATTATAGCTACCATACCAAGGACCATTATAGGACTATTCACACTTCGATACTGACCGTGGGCTTTGCCCCTTTGGCTTTAAAAGATCTGAGGTGAGGATTTTAAAAGTAAATATTGATTGGTCTCCATGGCTGCCATGAGAACACATAAAATTTTTGCAATTTGCTATGCCACCCAAATGTAAACAAGCTGAACTGTCAAACCACATTAATTCACAATTCCACAGCTGGTTTATAAATAGGCATATAATATTCTATACTATTCTATAATATTCTATGTGACATGTTTATTTATTCTTATATTTGATGGTTCATTGATTATTGATTTTATGAAATAAGTGAGATTGTATATCTGTTGCTGTATCTAACCCTAACTAATTATTTAAAATTTTGCTAATGTGAATGATTGTATTGAAAGATTTTGGTGTAAAAAATAGTGAAATTATAAAGTTCACATTTACTTGAATCATTTTAACATTTTTGAACACTTTAACATTTGTTTAGAGTAGGGCACCTTAAAAATTGAAACTTTTCTCAAGGAGATATAATTAATTATATATTTTTGCCATTTTAAAAGCGAAATATTGTTCACACCATTGGCCATTTCACAAATTTTTTAATCATAATTTCATATTACTACTCATAGATTAGTTATGATGTTTTCTAATCCAGAGGTAGCTACTACCTATCTATATTATAACTTTTGACACTTCCTGTAGATTTCACATTCTATTCTAATAATGAATAACTTTTTTTTCTAGCGTTTCATGGTCATTATGTATATTTTCAACCAAGTTCCTCTTAACTTAACCTACCCTTGACATAGACATTGTTTGAATGCCGTTAAATTTCCTAATTTTAAACTGATATACAAATATTTCAATTAAAAAACAACAATAAAAACTAAGTTGTTTATGCACTTGCCTTTGGTGCATGAATAGTAGGAGCTATAAATAGTAGGTTTGTTTAGTTTTTAGAAGCAAGACCACATGTTTCATTTCATTCAAACCATAATATTAACCAGATGTTGTAAATTATTGTTTGTCTATATTTGATTTTATCATTTGAAAGTAAGTAAAAGCTTTGAGCTTTTTATTTCTTTTAATGTTTGAACATGTGTTTTTTTTTGTAATTAGTAAGTTAAAAGTTTTTGATAAGTACATTTATTGGAATTTAATCTTATTTTACTCTGTTTTTCATTTCGGATTTCAAAAAGCACCATTTAAACATATATCAACCCCGGACGAAGGACGGGTACTCTGCTAGTAATTATCATAAAACTTAAGAATCTTGGGAGCAGAACCTGTACCTCTTCCTCTGCTGTTTGAACTGTCAAAATTATAGTATTTACAGCTGACTTCAATTAATACTTTTTACTATTTTCATTCTTCCAAAATGTAAACATTCAAACTTTGGAAGCCCTTGAACGTAGCCCAAGGGAAGTATAATATCAGGAATAAGCCTATATGTTAACTAGGTATATAAGCTACCTTCATACCATAGTTATTTGTGTAACTAGTGGGCAAAGTGGCACTTTGCTGCACACGAGAGTAATGTTTACATTTTACATTGTGATAGTATTATTATCTTTAAGTGTTGCCAACCTATTTCCAAGCGTACACGGATTACGTGTATAATAGAACCACGCTGTTTTGTGTTCTTTCGTTGGAATCCTGATGTGTGCGCCGAAGTATAAACCGTACGACAAAGTATAAATATGCATCAATTAGCAGCTTTCTGTACTATAAACAGTACAAGGAAGCCAACTTTGTCGGGGGACTGTGGGAAAAATTTTATTTCAATCGGTTCAGTGGTTCTTGCGTGATTAAGTAACAGACAGACACACACACAAACACACACCATCTCATTTTTATATATTAGTAGATTAGAAAACCAGTACAGCTAATATTCATTTCTCGTTATTTTATGAAATTTAATATCATTAACAAAGTGAAACAATCTATTGATAACTTTATGCTTAACAATGGTGGTAAGTTTAATCTGAAATCAGAGAAAACATTTAGTCGATATCAGTGCAATCAAAGCTTCAAAGTTAACCAAACCTGAAACCTTCAGACTTTCCTGGTGGTTAAGCATTATAGTTGCATTGCCCAAAAGTAAATGTGAACTTTTTTGTGGCTGGGGTTGACTTTTGGATACCTACACATGGATATTGAACCATGGATATTTATAAGGAAGAGTGTGTCTAATATTAGTAACAATGCCGTTTTAGTTGGTAATAGTTAAATTTCCAGGTTAATTTGAACATGACCATCCCTGTAAAAATTATCTAGTATTTATTAAATAGAAAACTTATTACTAGTATTTTTAAAAGAATACATTCTTCTAACATAACCAGAAAGAAAGTGAATTTTTATTTCTGGGGATCCCCCTTTTAGCCGAAAGACCACTGCCAAAGCAATGACTGAACTGTTCATGTTCTTTTACAGATGGGCATCAACAGCATATTTGACAGCAGAGCTAACTTGAGTAATCTGGCTCAGGGAGAGAATCTCTTTGTTGACTCTGTTATCCAAAAGACCTTTATTGATGTCAATGAGAAGGGAACAGAAGCTGCCGCCGCTACAGGTAAGAAACTCATATAAGTTAGTTGATGTAGATTCAGACAAAGGCACAAAACATAGGCTTAAACTTATGAAATAATTAAGAAGATACTTAAGTTGGCCAGCTTAATATTTCATCCTGCTATATTTTAAGACTAAAGTAGAACTAAAACAAAAATATTGAGTTTGTTTAATCAAAAATTTTTAGTCATGTAATGGTACTTATATTTCATCACTAGGGCCAAAAGCACTACAGCGACTCTTTTCGATCCAAGCCCAAGTTTAGATGCTAAAGTGAAAAACGAGCGAGGATCGATAATACTTAAGGCCCCTGTGATGAACTTAATTTTTTGTCATACTGCACCTTTCTTTAAGCTAAATAATTCACAAAACGTGAATTTCATTTTTATATCTTAGTGCCTAAAATGTTTTCCTTATTTTTTTTATGCAATCCTAGTTTCAAGAACTTGAATTATATTAGATTTACCTTTGTTGTTGCCTGAGTTGTTGCAGATAAGATGTTAATGACACCCCATGCATTTTGCCAGCTTGTGTGGGATTCTACAAGCTGGCAAAATTCAAGGGATGATATAAACAACTTACCTACATGAACTCAGGCAACAACAAAGGTTTCCTTCTTGTTATTCTAAACAGCTTACGACTACGATCAGCTGGTGCAGCGTTTCCCATTTCGTTCAATGATTGGATTTAACCTAACCTAAAAACGTGTTGTACGGTGTTTGAAAGACTAATTATTTATATGATTTATAATAACTGTAGAAAAAATATGTGTAACACGAGTGATTTGCCTTTGCCCACACCAATAACTATCCATCATTATATCACTATCAATTGAGATGGGGACATGTTAACTAATGAACTTCTACACATAAATTTGTCTAACCACAGTAAAATACAATATTACACAACGATAGTCACAAACAAATATTATTAACGGCACAATATTATTGTAGTTGATATTGAGACTGTTTTCTTCATCAAAATCAAAGGACAAATTTTTTAGTTATAAAAATGTATAGCTGGTGTTTTTTCTCCCTAACGCTCCTTTCACACTATACGATTTCGCTTGTGCGGTTATTAATCGTATTTGTAGTCGACCACTGGAGCTTATGGCCCCTTTCACATTATACGATTACCAACTGTGTACGATTTTCACCCGCGTAGCCACCGTAGGTGCACACGGTATCCGACTCCCGCACGAGTAAATAATCATGTCTATTGCTAGTGGACCATGTGACCATATGGCCCCTTTCACACTACACGATTGTTGATTCGTACGGGAGCCCTCCCCGAGTGCAGTTCATTGCGTATAGTTTTAAGATATTTTGTGTTTACAGTTTAATTGTTTAATTATTCAGTTGAACTACCTGTGCATAATGTATTATATTATTTAGGGCCGCTTTCCCCAAATCAAGTTTAACTTAATCTCGGTTAACTTTAATCTGTGGGTTAAACTTAGGATGGCTTTCCCCACTATTTTGTCATGAAAGTTTAGTTTAACCTAGCTTTTCTTTGCAAGCAACAATGTTGGCAACACTGTTATGCAATTTTGTCTGCAATATTAGCTGTTTAACTTCCCACTATGACATACCTGTCATTAATTTTCTCGTGTTTTGGTTATTTGTATTAGGTTTCGTGTCATTGTCTCCAATTGTTGACATTAAAAAGAAACATTTTTATTTGCAGGCTAATAAATTGTACTGATGCTAATTTATAAGCATTTCATTTATTGTGTTTATTTAAGCTCAAACTTAATTAAACAGTAGGCCTACTGTACGCATCAAATAAAAGCATTTACAATCATGGGAAAATAAAACGTTGGGAAAGACGCAAAATTAATGTTTGTGGATTAAAAACTAGAGCCTATCCTTTGTAATGGCAGGACTAGGGCCTAGGTTACTCAGCATTAGACACGTTCGATGTTATGTTTCTAAACTAAATTTAATTTTAGGCGTACTGCAGTAGTTGTTAATTTACACATGATAATAATAGACTAGTGGTTAGGCCCGAAGGTTTAATATTTACTTTTGTGTAATGTAAGACTCGTGTTAAAATAAAATCAAACCAAAAAACTTCTGTGGACAAGGTAACCTATCGATTGTACACAACTACGATACGATACTACCTACCGAAAATATAATAATTTAGGCCTACTCTACGCATTTAAAAACCTTAAAACCATTACTGTATATCTGTAGCCTTATATCTTTAAATTTGAAATAGTCATGAATTAATTGTCTACATAGGTTCTGGTTTGTTATTTCTTAATTTATTTCCAGTTCAATTTATTTTAGGTTATGTTTAACAAATGTCAAACAAGGATATTTGCCATTGCCGTCTGCCGAACGTAACAAAGTCAGCCAAGAGCCAATCAAAATCAAGCTATTATTCTTCTCTCCTGGGTTAACCCACGGATCGCCAGTTAAACCAGCCTCACCCCTAGGGTTAACTTAAACCTAGTTTAAACGGAGAAATTATTTTGGGGAAAGTGAATCTGAGGTTAAACTAGAGTTTAAACCGCGATCAGAGTTAAACTTGATTTGGGGAAAGCGGCCCTCAGTTTTTGTTATTAATTACAGTTTTGTTTATATAGTTAAAATTATGGATCTGATTAACCTAGAAGCTTTAAACAATTCTTTTGACATCCGAAAATAGTTGAAAAACTGTCCTTTGTCATTTCTCAGGTCTTTTATTGGATTTAATTTATTGGATGCACTCAGTGGAGGCGGTCACGTTTCTTTATTTTTCTCCTCCGGTAAATTATCAAAGCAGCTATAATATGCTCGCGATCCTTACTACTTTCCACTTTCCACTTTCCACTGAAGTATCAATGAACTCTGTTCTAGTGGAGTGGGGGTTAAGATGTTTTAATCGTACGGTTACAAATCGTATAGTGTGAAAGCAACAGACCCACGATCATCTGCCCGTACGAGTTTTAATCGTATAGTGTGAAAGGAGCGTAAGAGCTTCTTTAGCCCCCCCCCCCCCACACATATATTGAATTGAAACAGCTGTTTTTGCTGCAGTATGACAAAAAATAAATATATATTATTTTAAGATAACCACAGTATGGTTTAAGCTTGAAATTACTGTTTGTGCATTATTCTATAGTTATATTTTCTCCACATGAATAGTTAAGGAATGTTTTTAGTTCATTCTATATTGCTGACTCTTATAGCTAACTTTGCTTACTGCTTTGCAAATCTTAAACGCTTCTTTCAGCATTTACCCTTCTTTGTACTGTAGTTGTAACGGCTTGTACTTCAAATTAATGCTGCTAACTTTATATGAACCTCGACTCCGTCACTCAATAAATAGTAAAACTCAAGATTGATTTTTCCCTTGTTGAATTTTATAGCCATAAAGTGTTCTGATTGATATTTACTCCAAAAACTTCAAGGAGAATTTTTAACTTGAAAATACCATGATAGAGCCCTAAATTCTTTTTAAAGCACATACCTTTTCGTAAAATCGAGTAAAAATATTACATATCTACATTAACAGGCAGATTGGTAAAGCCCAATGAAGTATGTGTAAAAGTTCTGAGCGTGTGTCCTAAAACAGGGGTCTCCAACCCTTTTTACCCAAGGGCCACATTGTACATTTTTGAAAAAAGGCCAGTATAAAATAAAAATAAATTTTAAAACAAAAATTGAAATGAAATTGGGCCAACAATATTTCAGTGTAGAAAGTTGAGCCCCTTCTAAATACATCATCTACTACAAGATCTATTGTATTTAAAATTTATGGTAACAGCAAAAATAAAACTTAACAATAAAAGAGTGTATATTAAGTGTAAACATTTAACATAATATTGTATACAAACTTTAAACTATGTTTGAAATAAAACTATTTTTTTTTCTTTTTCATTTGTTTAAAAAGAACTAGAATTTTTTATTAAGAATATTACAATTGCCATTTAAATGGCATCCCAATTAATTATTAGGGTTAGAATTTGTTGTTCTGATCTTTAGGATTGATGACAAAGAATGATTTAACTCAGCAGCTCTGTTTTTAGATAGCTCGATCACTAGGTACATGATTAAAACTAAATTGCATTTATCGAGGATAACATAGCAAGTAAATGTCGTGTACTCATTTTTAAATGGGCTATCCAGCCGACCCAGAAACTGAGAATTGTACTTGAATTCAGTATGGAGCAGTTATTACAAAATGATCGCCAATAGCCAATGAGCCTCAATTCATTGACAATGTTCCATGGCTATATTTCAATGTCGAAAATCGTTATTACCCGAAATCACAAGAGAAGCTCACGAGTGTTTGCGCGATCATGGATGACAATCAAGGTATCACTGACGATGCAAAATATGCGTACAAGTGTTTCCACGATCACGGGTGAGTAATGACAATCACAGCATCGCAAAAACCGTAAGAGGCTCACAAGTGTTGCCTCGATCACATGTGACGATCGCAGTATTTCCGAAAACGCAAGGATGGTTAAGAGTGGATTTGCGATTACGGGAGATGATTTTCGGTTTAAATGCCATTGAAAATCATATTTTCTAGGAAGGTATTTCCGGGCCGGACAAAATCTCTGTGCGGGCTTAGGTTGGAGACCCTGTCCTAGAACATGAGAAAACAAATAATATTATATTATAGATACATGTTGTCTTCACCATATGACCTATAAATTTTGTAAAATCAATGAGATTCTTCTATCTATGTTTTTCAGCTGTGCAAATAGCTAATAAATCGGCAAAACGATATCCTGATCCTCCAGAAGTGTTTCGAGCAGACCATCCCTTCGTCTTTTACATGATCAAAATAGAGCCTTTAGTTGCAGTGTTTCATGGGCGGTTAAACAAGCTGTAGACATGACATTTCAAACAAACCAGTATAACTAGAACATTTGTGTGTGTTCTCATAAATATTTTAGCTTAATAAACGTTGTATCTATTTTTATTACAATCAATATTTTGCCATTCCTGTTTCCTGTTTCTTACCATACACAGTAAAATCTCTTTTGTCTAGCCTTTTTACAGG